CCTGGAAAATTTAAGGAGTTATTATTATGTACGTTTAGATGATACAACCGGTAGGATACTTTTGCACGTTACTGTATCAAGAACTTGTAGTAGTTGGGACGCCTCGATAATGAAAATGTATCATGTCTAGCTACAGATTGACTTCTTTGCTTGATAGCTGACAATGACGATAATATTAAATACTCCGTCCGTCCACTTAATCCGCTTTTTCAATAAATCATTACTTCAGAAACCATATATCTTATCAAATTGCTAATTCAGAAATTTGGAAATTTATAAGACCGGTTCAATAATTTTGTCATTAGGCATTCTTTTTCGATTGCCCGACAGTTAAGTTGATGATGGAGAGTTTTTTTCTATCAAAGAGTTGCTTCGCACATTGGCCAAAAAGAACTGCACGTTAACTTTTAACTTAATTGTAAACATTATCTATATTCAAATCTTAATAGAAAAACTGGTTATCGAAATATCAATTTCTTCTCGATTTCACAGTTATGTGTCTAATCATTACTGTACATCCAAATCAAATCCCTAATTCACTTATTAAGTATTATCTAATTTAATTACAGTCAACTTGGTATGTACACTAAACTATGTGCAAATTTTACGTAAGTGAAAATTGCAAACTATTTTCTTGTTAGAAGTTCTGAGAACGTAACATTGATTCTTTATTCAAAACTAGTATACTATGAAAAGGGACCCCCAAATTCATCGATCAGAACTGAAAGCGTCACTAAAAAGTCGATATTAAACATATTTGTCAACACTTACGGCAACGCTGCGAGATATCGGTAAAGTGGGGTATCAATAGGTTTTCTTTCTACTGATAATATGAGTGATACGCAAAATATCGATTTATCGGGAACATTCAAACAAAATCCAAGCTTTATTGTTTACGCGCAAATAAAATATTGATAGACGTTTGCTCTTTTCCTTTAAAATAGACGTGAGTCAACAATTAAAAAGTATGCTCTATACTCAGTAGCGGGTTGGAGAGAAAGTCAAACAATACCTGTGGCTGTCTAAAGCAGACTTAACCTTACAGAAGGATAAATACCAGTTCTTCAATTTGTTTTCCTCTTTAAAGAAAGAACAATTTACTAGAGGTACTATCTCTTCGTATTTATATATTCTCGCTTCCATTTCTTCGTCGATACTCATATATTGCTCCGTTTTCCAAGCCCAGACTATCAATAAGAGATTGTAAATTATTAATTTCATGTCGGTTCACTAACAGTTGGCTCACAATGTTTGACTCTGTTCCAAATTTAATATGTGAGGGGTGAGATTTAACAGTAAAGGCCATGCACATATCAGTACAAGAGACAAAATTTTCTATGTAAATTTGGGAACGGAATTTTTTATTGTTATGTGTAGATTATTGGTATCGATACAACGAGGTTTGCCTGTATTCTATTTTATCCTTTTTTGTTCAGGAAAATGATTAATATTAAGTTGTTTTCAAATGACGCGGTAAAGATTTACGCCAACACGAAATTCTTGTCTACGAAAAAGTAGCCGACCAAGCTTCTTTTTTTTTAATTTCTACATACACAGTCAGCCTCGATAAGCCGGCCAACAGGAGCTGGTTCTGGATGGCCGGCTTATCGAGGGACCGGTTTATCGAGACCCACGTGATGAAAGATATTTAATTAAACAATTTTATTATTGTACATGATACTGCTCCAATCGTATGATCTAATGATATAATTGATAATGCTGCTCTAATCATATAATTATAATGTAGTGACATGTATAATCGTATGACTGTAGTGCTTTGATTGTTGATTGTAATAACCAGTTAAATTTGACAAAAACTGTGTCACATATTACAACAATCACGTGGCCGGCTTATCAACTAAGACCTGGCTGAAGCTGTTGGCCGGCTTACAGCTTATCGAGAATTTTTGAATAGTGGAAAAAACAGCTGAAAAATTTTGGCCGGCTTAAGCCAAAACCGGCTTATTGAGGCTGACTGTGTATCGTATTAATTAGTAATTTTTTTAGGTTTAATCTTTGACGATTAATTTTCTATTCTGAAAAGCTATTAATTACGTGTACTTTATGTGTTGCCATAAATAAATTGGGTTTGTTTGCTTACAATTTAAATGTGAATTAAACGAGTTCGAACGTGTGCAAGTTGTGGTTTATGAAAAGTAGGGAGGACTCGTGAGGCCATTGGTTGCATTTTAAGGACTCCAAAACCACTGTAACAGATACAACTGTTCGTCGTGGTAATTCAAATAATAGATTAAATGCCAACAGTACTGGAAGGCCACGAAGAATCGCCAAAAGCTCAAGCAGATTACAAAACCAAATAATTGACCTACTGAGTATTAAAATTTGCAATTATTATTAATATTAAACATAATTTTATCACTTGGGCAGATACTTTTTGGAAATAAAACGTAATTTTATTGGGTGGTCGGAGCACTTTTGTATAGATATGACGATGTTTCAATTTTTTCGATGCAGTGTAACGAATAAACCGCCAATAAAATTCAAGAATTTAATATCATATGATATACTACAAATTGTTTAGTTTTAAATTTCCTTTGATCTTAAAGTATCTAAATTGATAAATTGTTGATTGTCCATAAATGCCTCGTCCAAGTGGCAAGCAGGAAGCAAAACAAAAATGGTTCTTCCAACACTGCATATACAGTATTATAAACTAGATTTCAATCACTTTTTTTATTCTGTAGTTTTTGTTTATTATTAATCAAATGATTAATTTTTTAAAGTTGATGAGTAGAGCAATTCCTATCTTTGAGATAATCCATCCTGGCTGTATTGGAGTTTTTTGTTTTGATCAGTCAACTAATCACAAAGCAAATGACAGAGGATGCACTTGTAGTTACAAGAATGAATTTAGGTCCAGCAAAAAGCAAGTAAAGTTGCATGATGGTTGGTATTAGCACACTCATCCGAAATAAGTATCGGACCCCCTTTAATTTTAATTTGCCCAACAATTCACATAATAATTGTTTCCAAATTTTTATACGTCATAGCTTAGATTTCTGTTGACATATAGTATAAAGTATGCATCATGTCCATTAATTGTCAGTCATTTACAAAATAAATACTAGAGTCGACCAAATCTACAAATACACATCTAATTTACAGTAGCGGCCATAAGTATCCTACCCTTCTAATTCGGGACAGGAGTGAGTAGACGCTTTGAAAATTTCTCTACATATAGTGTATCAAAAACCCTGATGGCCTGTAAATTTTTAGCTCAATTGAATGTCTAGAAAAATTTTCAAAACCAAATGTTTTTACCTCAAGATAAATCATGTTCATGTGCGATTTCGGTCATAAAAATTCAAAAATACATATCTCGACACTTTTCTAACCAACTTTCGGGATTTTTTTATTTTGTTCTTCTGCCCCATTAGAATACATTAATATAATTTTAAACAGATTACTGTGTGATTGCTACTGCAGAATGCGAACGATCATGCAACATAATGATGTTAATTGATATTTATGTGCGTTTATTGTTAAGTATAATAATAATTTTCTTTTAATTCGACCGCAACAACCTACGAATACGTAAAGACAGATCTGACAAACAAAACAAAGAAAAGATTACGCAAATTGATTAGAAATATGTGGAGATATGGGGTTTTGAAGTTCGTGTTCAAAATAATGACATGCGGTTTTTTGATATGTCTACTGGAAATTATATATTTGGTTGACTCCAGTTTTATTTTGTAAATGACTGACAATTAATGGACATGATGCATACTTTACACTATATGTCAACAGAAATCTAGGCTATGACATATAAAAAATTTGGAATAAATTATTATGTAGTGTTTTCTGCAAACTAAAATTAAAGGGGGTCCGTTACTTATTTCGGGTGAGTGTATGTTTCAATTTTTCGGAGAGCTTATATATTATTATAAAAAGTGCTCCAACTTTAAAACCTGGACATTTTTAGGACAAACCGGCCAGTAACGCATATCACAATACAATAAACATAATTACTGGCGGATTTTCTAAAAAAAGTCTCTACATTGAGCTAAAGACAGGTGATTTTATTGTCGAGTATAATAGAGTTGGTGCTCCATATATCAAAAGTAGACTTCTATTGATATTAATTGCTTTCAGTCTTATTACCTTGAAACATGGCAATAGAACAATCATTATTTAAAGAATAGTTAATATTAAGTTAGCTACAAGTATACTAAAAGCTAGAAAAATCAAAATTGTTATTCAATAATTGTAAATGTTGAGCAGATTTTCAGTAAACTTACCAATGTTATTCTTAGCACGAAATAGTAAGGCTAATTTAGGCTAATAAAAATTGCATAATTATAATACACTTACTACCACCCATTTATTCATTCCATCCATCCATTTGTTGTAATTTCATCCACATCATGTCTGCACTTACAAATATCACCTGTTTCTCCCTTGACAATTTTAGAGCAATGAAAACTGGAAAACAGACAAAGATATGGATCAAAGCGACATTGAAGCTAATGCAATCAAAAAAGCTTTTCCAGAATGCTCATAATAATGGACTTTCTGTATTGTTCATACCATGCAAATATGGATGAGAAATTTATGAGAAAACAGTAAGGGATAAAATGGTTATTATTATGGCAATGTACAGGATGACAAAGATAGCAGCATATTAATATGTGATTTGCAAGTAGTTTCTGGCATTCAGCAAGGATATTTTGACTTCCACTGGCAATACTTGCTAATAACAAAATTCTATTGCAATTACTGCTGCTGGAGCAATTCTGGGAAGTCTACTCAAAAGATTTAATCACAAAACTCTCTTTGTTGTTGATGAGCATGGTGTTCTTCTCCATGTCAATTGTGCTTTCATCCTTTGCTTTGCTTAATTACAGAGTAAAGAGTTGTGAATTATGATAACCTCTGTAAGATGGCAATTAGCATGCTAAAAATGCTTTCAATTTGTGTGCATTATTTTATGGTATAATTATAATTGCTTTGCTTCACAATGGAACACTTGCTTGAACTTTCAATTTATCATTTTTGTTAGACAATAATAAAGTCATTATATTCAGTAGTTATTATGCCAACAATAAAACTTATGTAATTATAAGATGGAGACTATTCTGGATGAGATACTTTTATAGCATCTTAATCTATTTGGTTGAAAACCAAAATCAAATTGTTTTATGCTTTAATAGTTCTAATGTGGGTACCACTGTCAAGACTTACTATACTGTATATTTGCTTATATTAATATTGATATGTGCTCAGGGAATACATTTTCATATTGTTTTAATTAGTTCAAGTTTGATCTTGTTTGGAATAATGGCCACATGGATGCCTTTATTATAATGAGTTGTCTTTGCAGTCTGTAAAAATAACTAGAAGACAGAAAAACAATGAGCGCAATAATAAATAAGCCATTAATACCTTGTGTTAATACTTGTTTCAATCCTTTTTTGTTTTAATTTATGTAGAAGGGATGAGAATCCTTGTGAAGGTGCAGACTGAACTGCTAACATGCAAATTGAACATATTAATACAGTCTGAGATGTAAATTCGGCTTCATTTTCAAAATATAGTTAATGGTAAAAGCAGGTTTTCTCAGATGGTGAAGAAAGTGATTTTGTATCACTATATTAATATGGTTTCTTATGAGGCTAATAATTTCAATGCACAAAATCTGACATGCTTATGATTATGATGCATAATAACTTAATATTAGAAAAACCAATTATTAAACATCTCGCTCTCTGTGAATCAAGTATCAGGTTCAAATAGAAGCTGAAAAACTGGAACACTTTCACGTACATGTGTTTATTGCTTGGAGGCTCTGTATTCAGATGCCTAATATAACGCTTGCCAAGAGATTCTTTTACTAGGCCGAGGAGAGTGATGATAGTTTTATTATTAAGGGCTTAGACATGTTATTAAGTAAGTCCGGTATGTATAATATTTATTAGAATTAACATTAGCATATACACAGTGAAACTGGATATAACGAAGTGGTCCGTTCCAACCTTTTTCTTCGTTACATCCAGGTTTTTCGTTATACCCGGGCAGAAAATTCTATTAGACAAGGGTTTGGGACATCGAAAAAACTTCGTTATAGTCGAAATTCGTTTTGTCCAGGTTTCGTTATATCCAGTATTATAAAAGTTATGAACGTAAAATACAACTATGCAATACAACCGCTGACTGACTATATGATTATCGATTTTCTTGAACAGTGCATATTTCTCTGATATCTCTGGTTAGCACTGACCAAGATAATGACGACTGAAGAGAATAAGCTGGCAGCGAACTCATAAAACACGCGCATAAAACACACGCACATGAGATAAATTAATTTATGAGAAACAGTTGCGTATTGGCAAACCTTTGATATATTTATCGCGTCTTAATTAATAGCGCAAGTCGAAAACATAATAATAACCCAGTTATTATTTCGAGCTTCCTTACTAAATCTTGTGTCAAGTGTCATTTTCTTACTCGTTCATATTAAGAGCGAGTTAATTATAGACGCTATTGGTTTATTATTTGGCAACGATCGAAAAGACAGTAAAAGAGCGAACAATTTAACAGCACGCTATTTATATGTTTATTCGAGTGGTGGTGCTCCGAGATGGAATAATGGCTTTCCGGCCTTATGACCGATATACGCAAGAGAATATTTGTGGACATTAATATCCAATGAAGAATCGCAAGATTGCATTTTCAAGCAAAGTATGGATTAATTAAAAATCTGTCAGTCAAACCAAGTTTACTAGCCGGAACAAAAAACCCGCATTGAATCCAACGTTTTATTTTAACAAAATTGATATCCGAAATTCCTAATTGGAGCTATTTACGCAATAAGGAATTTTTATATCCTGAAGAACAATCCAAAAGAAAAAACCAAAGAGCTAATCCAACGATGGATTAAAAGTTTAAGTAACTAATGTAACGGTGTCGAAATGGTAGCACCAACAAAGAACTCTTGCAGTAACTTAACTAAAGAAATAGATTATACTAGGGTTTATGATAGTAATGCAAAGCGACTCTAAATCTTTTCTTGGCCAAATATCGTCAATCAGCTTGAATTATTCGATTTTGTTAATTATAAGTCCGAGGCATTGGAGAGACAATTAGTGATCGAAAAATCCGAAATCTAATATAGTGATAGGTGTGATCAGCCAGTTGTTACGTTCAATTCTTATACCAATATAGACAAATAGCCAAAAGTTGGTGGTGCGCTATGGTCCAAAAACCATAACATCTATTAAAAAATGAAAGACTAGTGATAATATTGATAGTCTTGCCGTAAATTATCATTTATAGGCAATTTGGTATGCGAATAGTCGTATTTTTGTCTTAAATTGGAAATTGACCTAATTCAGAAAAGCGCATATTTATAATAATAGTAAATATTAACCAAAAAATGACATAAACTTAACTGCGCCAAATATTCTCTGCGTGACATTCCCACATGACATTCGCACCCTGCGAATTATAATAACCCTATCGATTATTATTGGTTAACATGGGGAGGTGGGGATTACTCCTTGATTTGGTGTTACCGGATGAGGAAAGTGAAGAAGAGACATCATCCCGTACTCGCGTTATTATTAATTTTCGTCGTTATGCAGCTATTTGGTACATCCCCTTTCTTCGTATATTAATATCTCAATGCATTTCCATTTCTACCCACCATTAAGAAGAATTTGCATCGAAATGCTTTGTTTATGATTACAGATACATTGAACATTCATCTGTTGCCCTTCCCCCTTTACCTCCCCCACATGGTCGCCGCCAAGCAAGATTACAATTAAATCAATTATATTGTTCAATGAATTATGGGAAACGATTTGTGGAAAGAAGATGCATGCAAGCTCTTTACAATGCATACAATGATGTAATATGGTCACATATGACCTAACGAGCAGTAAACAAAAACATAATGAACAGAAAGTTGTATTGTTAGTAAAGAGGGCACGGTAGATCATTTGGACATATCAGCTGTTATGGTCATTTGGAATACCCGGTTCAACTATTACCGATTGTTACATGGGAGCAAGGGTCAAGGAGCGCTCTCCACTTGATCTGAGTTGCACAACATTAAGCAGGGATCCATGTCTGATCAAATCGAATTCCAAGCCTCTTTAAGCAATAACTACAATTGTAAGCATTTTTGTCTAGCTGTCGATTGCTGCATGAGAACAATACGAGTGATTGTTTCGATGCATGCATGTTTAGGGACTTTTTAATGGCTTGGTCATGCATCAATCCATTATACGTAATCACACGCCTTAGCGGCGTGGGGTAAGAGAGGTGATGGGGGAGAACCATTGATCAAGACATTAACTATTCCAAAAAGACTATTTGAAGAATGTTGGTGAACAACGTGGAAGACCAGCTGATGCACATGTGATAATAAATATTTGTCAAGTTCGTGTGCATTCTACCGTACATATGAACGCATTTCAGGATCGATTGTTTGGATATTCGGCCCATGCATTATACGGGCCAAGGTTGAACAAAATGCAGGCAACAGTGGTGCACATTCTTAGTTGGCTCTGTTTGGCGTTCTTTTTCTTTTCTTTTTTCCTTTTTGCTAATTCCTTGATAAGCGAGCGAAAACGCAGAAACTGGTACCATTATTATAGTTGCACAGTTATACAGTAACATACATAGTTCTATCGATCTATTAAATCATTCATTTGTCTTAAGATTTGTGCAAGTAGCAGCAGAGTAAAAATACAACCGTCCCTTATTTGTATCCTCTTCGTTTATATCCCACCCTCGGATGTAACTTAGTTTTGACGCTGGGCGGATTAGGATTTACTATACATGCATTCGTGCTACATAAAAGATTATCTCATTTCTATATATGGTTCAAGTCTCAGCCAACGATGAATTAAATTATTCATGCTCTAGCTCTACGGAGCGATGAAAGAATTTGGTGTAGATCTCAAATAACATTATCCATTCCTCCTCCTCCTTCCATTCACATTGTTACATAAATACCAGGCATTAGGCCAAGTTTCTTTATTGATTCAGTTAGTAATGTAGATAGCATATGCTTTCTCATGTATTAGCTGTCTAAAAACAGCTTTAGCAGTTTATCTGTAGTTGTCAATAAAAATCCTATAAAATCGAATTTGGTGTAGATCAAGTAGTATTCTTGAAGAAGCATTCTACAAATGGTTTCAAAGTTTACGTAGTCAGAATATTCCTGTATCCCAAGACGTATTGAGAGTAAGAGCAGTCACGTTTTGTAACAAGGCTAGAGAAAATTGTGCATCAAAGGAACAGTTGGAGAAGTTCCAAAAACTAGTAGCTGATGAAATCAAATCAGTACCTCTTGAGCATGTTTGAAAGTGGAGTGGAAGGAAAAATTACAAGAATTGATAGCTCTATTTGATATTGAAATGTTTGCACTACAAATAAAGCGAGCTTACTCTTTCAATTAAACCTTAACAGAACACTTGCGATAAAAAGCGATAGATCAAAAGACACCAAGAAAGACAGAAGAACGAGTCACCGTCTTACTTTGCTGCAATGCCACAGGAACAAAAAAGATTAAGCCGCTTGTTATAGGAAATATCAAAATCCTCGCTGTTTCAATAATATTAACGCACAATGTTGCCTGTCCGATACACTAAAAGCTTGGATGACAATGGATTGAATAGTTAAAGTGTTAGGCAATCAATTAGTCAAGACATTACGTTTACTAATTGCTAATTGTCCAGTTTATACAGATGGTTCTTCCATCGGCCTTGAAACCCTGCAAGTAGAATTCATACTACCAAATCCTACATCTCATATTCAACCTTGCGATGCTGGAAATCTCAAAGTTAATTATCGATCGTTTTTGGGTTTACTACTTGGATAATGATAAGAAGCCTAAACACTAAAGAAGCAATTGCGGATGCTTGGAATAATGTAAAACCAAGTACGATAAAAAATGCCGGCAATCTTACCTGAGGTAACAAACCATTCTATTGCAGGCGAAATGGAGATTGATGAAATCGATAAAGACATAGCCAATTTGCTCAACCGCCTATTGCAGATTCCTCGGTGGATATCATAGCGGAAGAATAATTTTTCGGGTTATACAGTGTTTGATAAGCGCAAATTGCCTGTCTGCAAGTAGTGCATATGGAAGAAAATTCAAGCGAGAAGGAAGCGATTATTTCTACAAAAGTGGGAAACAACGTTAGAAACAAAGGGTAGTTATTGACAGAATATATTAACCAATAAAATTTCTCGTGTTACTCGATTAATAAAATTATATTTCAGTTAACAGATATAAGTTTCTGTGAAATATAATGGAGATTGACCATCATACCTATATTAAGTAACCATGAAAGTTACCAAAATTAGACACTTCTTGTAGTACAGCATAACCAGCGACCATCGTCAAATCATCATGAATTAAAAGTAATACCAATACAAATTTGGACGTCTGAAATATGGCGAAAGAGTCAGACACAATCCGCGTGCGGCCACATAAAAATGAGACAGTCAATCGTTACTCAGTGACTCAAATAACTTAGTCTATGTCTTACACAGAGTGAAAAAAAAAACCTTGTGCTAATGTTTACCATATTGTAAGGAAGCTGTTTCACAGTAGGGGCTTTGCGTTGTAACAGTTATAAATAGCGTCGAGGTAATTTGAGGGGGAAAAAACGACTAGAAATAAATTGACAAAACACAGTATATTGTACCTAATAGACTATTTACAAATTCAGAGCAAACTCTAGTCAATTACTTACTAAGACTCAAGACATGGTAGGCGCCGCACCACGAAATTCAACAAGAACTCGACGAGGAAGAACGAACGGTAGCTCGCAGAAGTCTCGCGCAAATGCAACTCGCAATACTTCTTCATCCACGCCTCGTAATAACCCCTCTCGCTCTAAATCAAATGGTCCTCGAACGATTAATGCGTTCTTTCTGTTCATGAATTCTATCCGACTCCAATCTCGCACGTCCCGGTTTCAATGTACCCTCCAGCGCTTGTTTACCAAAAAAGTGGGAGATTGCTGGAGACAGATGTCTGAGCAAGACCGATTACGATGGCATCAAGAAGCAGAAAAATTAAAAAGAGAACGAGGGGGAAGCTCGTACATTGGAGAATACACCTTGGGGGCCGAAGACAGTATTACAAGCTGTGAAACAAAGAAAGAGATAGAGGATGAATACGTATTTGTCAATTATACGCCGGGAGAGAAAACCTTTAAGGGTGGTATTGTAAAGAATAAGAACAATAACAAGCAAAATGTCGCAACAAAGTCAACGGATAGATCTGCCGGTGAAGGACATGTTAACAACCTTGTCGACGGATCGCCGGTTAATTATAATAGCGCTACGACTACCGGTCCTGTTACGTTGGATTCATTTCCGGCTCCTACACCAGTCATAGTCACCGTGTTGGGGCAGGTCATCCAGGGTGGTGACTATAACCCAATTGACACCTACTGTTACTATCCTACACCCACCTTGCCGGAAACTTTATTCCTACAGCAATATCAGGTATCTCAATTCTCTGGTCAAGCTTGGCTGATGGCAGACAATTACGATCATCCAAATGATATCAACACTAATAAGACGGTGTGAACACGATTCGAATATGGATAAGAATACTGGGGACTATATGGGAGTGTAATAACATAGAAAGTTCACATGTTTAAACTTATGTTGTTAGAATATATTGTACTTAAGAAAACAAACAATAAGATTAAACTATAATTGTCAATGTTAACAGTTGAGCGAGGCTGATTCTATTAAGCAATTTGCTAGTATGTCCTTTAACGTATTACCAAATTTCACGTTTTATTGTCTAGACTCAGTTGACATGCCTTGGATATTGTGATCGGAAAAAGTTTGTTTTTTTCTCCCTTAGTGTATGATTATGTATTTTACTTTTCAATCTTTCAACTCGCTCTGAATGAATATGGATTATAATGTTACACGACCCCCTCGTACAAAGTGACGGGTCCTTACAGGGGTGTCTGGTAACACGATACGATTATCGGATTTTTTTTTTCTCTCTGCATGTTCGGCTACATACATTTGCATACCCCCCCCGTATGTTCATTTTAAGCTTGTCTCTTTTCTTTTTTCTTTTAGCTTTTAGCTTAAACCTTACTATAACTAGTAGTTTACGATCACTTACATTGTTATACGTTCATTCATTCCTGCTTCAACTTTTTGGTTTAATAAATTCAAATCTCGATATTTCACAAAGTTTTGTTTCCCCCCAATTTCATGCAAGAGCGCTTGCGTAATATACACATCCCATTGTGTATCATATTCTCAATAGGGATGGCATTCCTTTCGATTATATTACTTTGTTGGGATAAATTCAATACGTTCCGATAAAATGTAATCTTATCAAATACGGAAAGTGGGTGTCCTATGTATATCAGTAATGACGCAATACCTGAACAACGATCGAAAGTGCACGAGAAGTAACACAAATTATGAAGAAAACATGGGTGTGTATTGGCAGAAGTGGTGATAAGGATGAAATGGAAGTGAGCACTTTTAAGAGTCAATATTAAAGAATATTGAATTTGATAATATTAATCAATAAGACAACCTTTACTGTGCTTAATAAAATCAATAAGACAACCGGACCCAATAAGACAATATGTGCTAAAAATAGACAAATGTAACATAGTAGATTATATTGTAATTGTGAAATAAATTTATATATAGAACGAATGAATATTCTGAAATGCAATATCATTTCTTGTCAGGTGACTGCTGTTTATATTATATACATAAACCTGTTTGTCGTTACTTCCGAATGCAGGAGATTATGAGATATTTAGTAAACCGTCCAATGTAATTAACAGACTTGGCATTATGTGATATGCATTAATGGCTTTTGAGCAAAAATAACTCATTGCGTTCGAGTATTCCCGAATTGATACATTTTCTATTGATAGCGAATATTGGGAAAATACATTTTTCCGCGCCAGGAACAATAATCATCTCCCAATTTGTCGAGAGCTCCCGAAAATCCAGATTTGTATATTTTCCTTATTTCAACTCGTAACCACTCGGCATATACAAACCAATGTTGTGCTTGATAACAATGTTATACAGTTGTTGACATTGAAAGAATATCCTTTTACGCAGAACACAGTCGTCTTGTGACATGAAGACATATCTAAACGCGCGCCTGCACTACCACCACGTGAGCCATGTGCTAAATTTTGACAGTAACAAATCAGCAGAAGGGAAACAATAAGATCACATACATAAAGCAATCGCCACGTTTTATCCAAATAAATATCGTATGCATGCTGTCTTCTGATGCATCAATTGCCTGATCAGCTGGCACTCTAGGCATTCCAATCAAATAATGACAGATAAAAAAAGTTTATGATATTGAGAAATGGAGAATAATATGAAATATTGTTCGTTGAATTGTATAAGCGGATAAATTCAAAAAAAAAAAGGTCAAATGATTAATGCGTCTCATTTGTATATGCAATGGAACTTGTATGCAGAATATAATATATTACGCATTCTGATTTTAAAAAGTTATATAAGAAAACTAATTAACGCAGAATATGTTCAAAAAAGCATATAAAGAAGCTGATTAACTAACCATTTGCATTACGTTCCTTCGTGAGTATACTCGAATAATCGTCTTCGCATTCTTTCGATCATGTCTCGTCTTGGTATTTACGAAGTCATTCCTGAAATGCTGGATTATGCCCAAAAGTTGGTGTTAGAACGGCCAAGAAAACGGAACCGGTTTTTGCTATTCCGCCGAAGCGCTTATGAATTGACAAAGCGAGAGATATTGCGCGAATACAGTCCAAATGAACTGAGTCAAATATGGAATGGTTTGCCCCACAACATTACGAATCAGTTCCAGCGTATTGTTGAAACTGCCAAACATATACCAGCAGTTATTGGGGAGGTGCGAGTGCCGGGTAGAAAACGAAAAAGAGGCCCACGCCAAGACTCGTTTGCAGTTCAAATATCGTTAAACGTGCCTCGGCATTTAGAGAATAGTTATCAACAGACTATCATGATAACTGACCCCATCATTAGGAGGCTTGAAGAGAATGCGGAGAATGCGATATTTGATGAGTATACGACGCTCAACACTAGGTGATTGAGTCGTCATCGCCGTCGTCGTTATTGTTCGTTATCATCGTCGTCATCGTCGTCGTTATCATCGTTCGTTTCGTTATAAGGTCCTAAGATATAAATAAGAATTTAAGTAAACTTGTATGTAACAATTTATATTAGAGTGATATAAGATTAATATGTCACATTTAAGTTATAAAATTATTTTATGTTTTAACTCTTAACTAGAGAAACTTTTTGCAATTACTTGTCCATTCTTGGAACCTGATATTTGTTATTTCTTCGTGACACGTTTTTGACATCTTCATTGATGCGCAAAGACGTAAATCTCAACAATTTGAGATTTACTTACCGAATGCTTGGATGTTATAAAGTGCCTCACTTTCGAGTACGTTTGAAGGTTTCAGTGTAGTTGATAATAATCGTATATACCTTAATAGTCTTAATAGTTAGCATTAACTAAGTGAATTCAAACATTTAGTTGAGTGTGAGCCTGGTAGGCGGAATACGATCGTTACCCCTTCAGGTTGTTAATACAGTTGTATTTAGTAAGAATAAATGTCTCACATGATATTAATCAATGTCATGTTCGAACTTATTTTAACCTTTTCTAATTGGCGCAGCTACTTTGATTTTATTATTTTTTTACACAAATGGACTTGGAATTTTTTCATCGCCGCTTCCGTTTAAATTAATACTATGTCTAAAAGAAAGCAAAGCTTGGGGAAAAGCTATAAAATTCAACAATTTAACCATAGCTATTAACAAATTTAAGGATTTTCTTTGTATAAACTTCTGCTATTAATATTAATATGGAGCTTGTGTCTCCGCGAGTTCTAGTAATAAGAAGACAAGCTACAGAATGCATTAATGTCGCTCAGTGACAGCCAATGGGTCGGGTTTATACTACACAATTAATGATAAAGATTATACAGAACGTTTTGCTGTTTTATAGCGAATTAATATCAATTAAATAACGCATCGTATAGATCTCTGACACTGACATGACCAGTGGATCTGATATCTTGCACTAGGTCAACATTTAAAGAAGGGTTATACTATTTCTTGAAAGATTTGAATAAGAGAGAACAGCGTAACTACTTTTATGATGATGAAAACCAACCAATAAGCTTACGAGTAGAAAATACTTTAACTAGTGTTCAATGATAATCTGGTTTGGTGCTAACCTGCGATGGGAAGAAATTCTTTTTTTTTTATTCTGTTGTCAAAAGTTCTATGCTTAATTGTATGAGTCATGCCGCGTCGTGATAAATATTAAAACTTAGTCCAAGAAATATATAACATTTTTGTACGGGCTGCGTTTATTCAATTGTGCAATTATAATTAGGATTACAGAGCGCTTACTAATATAAAAAAAAATGCTGAATCAATCAATCTCTGCTTATGATTAGGCCCTTGGTATTAGGGTTTTAATTACATTTGTTATTCAATTTCTTACAGTGAACCATCCCTTATGATTAATGATCCAACGTGCAGTTGCTTTGTAAGTACAATCTATCCTGACCATCAGTGAAAATACACTCAATCTAATCGTCTATAATAACAACAACAACTCCATTTTATATTTAGGGATTATTAAACACTTAACGTGGTTATGTGATTGTGTTTGGCGTATGAAAATTCTTTAAATAACAATTTTAAGCTAGTTCGCCGCTGCAACTGTCAACACACAAAATCAGGCCGACGCATTCGTCTGGTATGACAGTTTTCTCCATTGTTTTAATGATAATCTGTCGAGATAAAGATAATCTGGTACTCATAGTAAGGATATACCCCAAACAAATGGGCGGTGGTTTCTAAAAGGCAGAACATATTACATCTGCATGTGATGATTCCACGTTTATAACAACAATAATCCCCACAACCCCATGTAAATAACCGTAACTAAATTGGTATAAAACTCCCTGCCAACAATTCTTAAAAAAAAAAACGACCAAAAAAAACTAAAAAAAAAAAAAAACAACTACTTGGACCATGTCTACAACTCAAGTTTGGGATACATCGCTCCAACAATTTCATGGTGGGCAGGATTGGAAGTTTTTAGATAATTTTGTTGAAGATTTTTCGGTCACTACGAATTCGTTAGGGACTCCACAAGGAGCATTGGTAGCTGCGAGAGAAGCTGTGGGTATCAATTATATACTAAACAATTCGCAACTACCTTGTGTTTCGTCATCTAATACGATTACGATGATAGTTGGCAACTTGCCATCATTATCCGCCCGCAGACCAAGAACCTGCCAAGTCGTCATTGGCCAAATTCCTTTGGCCGGCAGATCATCAATCTCATGTTTCAAGACTGTTATTAGGAAATGGAGCGAGTGAACTAATTGACTTGGTGATAAGAACTGCGCCGCCTGGCAGTTGGAAGCCAGGACCATGGGACGCGCAGGTGAGAAAATTATAACAATCTTTTTTCCTCAGAGACACACGATCAATCAGTGGGAATCCATTCATTTTTGTTAGCAGCGCTGGCATCCACTTGTCGTATCAATCTGCTGATTTTTTGTCAACTATTCATCTCTTTCATAGTACAAAGAATACCAACGATTCGCAGAAGTGAATAATCGCACCCTTCTCTCTTCAGACGACAAACAAAGAACAACCCTCATCTGCATTGTTAACCCGTGTAATCCGACGGGTGACTACATGCCAGTATCGGAAATCAGAGACTGGATCACAAACAACATAGAACGCGGCGGAGTTGTAATAGTGGACGAATCGATGCAACCGTGGCTATCATCCTCTTGGCGCGACGATTCATTGACATCTCAGCATAAATTTGCATCAATGTTGTATGAAACTTTGAATGTATCGTTATATGTAATACACTCGTGGACGAAATTATGGTCATGTACTGGGCTTCGCCTCGGCAGCGTTGTCTGTCCGACTTTGTCGCACTGTAAACAACTGAAGAAAATCCAAGTGCCATGGAGTGTGAACTCGGCTGCCTTGGCATTTCTCGAGACCGTGGTCACTGATACTGATTACCTGAATAAAACATGGGAAATAACTCCAGTCTGGCGAAAGGAAATTTTATCTCGATTAACCATCATTTCTGACGAGATAGCAAAAGTAAAAGGAGAACAAGCAAGATGGTCGTTTCATGGCAAGGAATTTTTATCGTGGATTTGGGTAGACGTAAAGGATGTTGGTTTTGCAGAGAAGGCAGTGGAAAAGGCTAGAAAGGCTGGAGTGCCTGTGAGAAGTGGAAAGCCTGGATATAACAGACCGACTTTTGTGAGAGTTGCGGTGAGAGAACCTAGTAAGGTTGATATATTAATTAGGGCTTGGATGTCATTAGTAAATAGCTAGGAGAGTATAACATCAAGCACTATTTATAACAAGTAATAAATGTTACAGGGAACTTAATACATAGCAGCGATGGCAAGTGATGATATGTTAAAAACTGCCGGCATCAGGGTGTCTCTACCACCCCCTTAATGTCGCTGAAGGCTTCCGAATGATTATGATATGATTGAATTAGTTACCTTTCGTTACCGAATCTTTTTCACGATTAATAGGTATTGGACAGTCGCGCATTTCATAATGAACTAACCTTTGACGGAGATACTGGGAACTTGGGGAAAACATGAGAACTTGTGGACAATTAAAAACATCACAGAGGTTAGTGGGTGAATCTTTTGTAGTCCAATAATCCAACGGCATTTTATCGAAAACCTGCGCTTGCTGGAATAACCAAACTCGTAGCTTCCATTGTGGAGATTGAGGATTTCTGACAATGTGTGTGAAATGAGTAAAAAATGCTATCGACCGAAAATCCCTATAATCCAAATTTTTATTATAGCGATTTTCAGGCGACAGCATTTTTTACTCATTTCACACGCTATCTTGACTCATTAAGATAAATTAGGTTTCTTTGAGCATAAAACAGCTAGAGATCGAATCAAGAGTGTGAAAGGCTGAAGATTAATGTTATTTCATGATTCAGTAACCCACTGGATACACTCAAAGTTAACGAACAATTTAAATGCAAGTTATGGAGATGAAAACACTTGTAACGAATGTAATTTTATTTCACAATGCAAATTGTACATAGATGACTATGTTTTGTATACTACAAGTAATAATGGAGAACATAAGGAGGAAGGAAGTGAGAACAATGAATGACAGAATAACTATACAGTAGATTACAGGTTCCTCCTTTCCTCCCTCCGTCTATCTACCAACATAATATACATGAAAGCAAGGATGACTATAAGCTGACAAGTAAATCTATTGTATTACACATTTTCTAATGGTTGTTCAAACCTTGCTGCCTCATACAGCACCCCATCCAGCACACCATCCGCTTATTCGCTAAGTGTCCCTTCCTCAGCATCAACAAACTCGTCTAGACTTCCATCATCGTTTTCACTCCCCACCAATTCCATACTGTTTTTCTCATAACCAATGTTTTCATCAATAAACGCATCGCTAAAATTAGAAAGGTCCGAGTCCGATGGTGTCGATAGTGTTAAATATAAATTGGGTGACAAAAAGTGACCATGTGAATGGAAAGAAGCGGGGAGAAAATGAGGGGAGGAATTGGGTGAAGGGTCACGAGAAAGAGTTTGAGGAGTTCGGACAGAAGTATCGGGGCAATCTGTTCCAGAATCAACATTTACAACGTTGATAGACACCTCGGGCTCATTAGCTTCTTTTCGTCTTACATACATACTTTGAGTCCCATACCTTGCATCTTTATTATTCGTAACTCTTACACCATTGTTTCTTGCTTCTTCACTCGACCCTCTTCTCGCATCTTGCTTCTCTAATAATATTCCGTCCATTTTCTTCACACTCCTTCTCTTCATCCAATACTCGTTGTCCTCCATAACCGTAGTACATAAATCTTTCTCCAGTATTTCGTGATAACATAATAATTTCGATAAATCAAGAAATGTCGATATCAGACGTTTGGATATTACATTGGCAATACTGAGAATCCGATCGCGTGTGGATGCTTTGTAGGGAACCATAATTGTGAGATTTCTAACGAGTCGAACGTCTCGGGTTAGTTGTGATGTGTGAGTCGTGATTTTTGCTTGTAGGGAAGCGATTTTGGACTTGAAAAGCGGAGATAGATTTAGAATGTTAGAATAGAAACAATGAAAGATAGAGAGAACAGAAACAATGAAAGATAGAGAGAACAGATACTTTGGATACAAAACATGAACTACTTGACAAACGAGTGAGGACACAAACTCGTGCCAAAAAGATCTTTTCCTATACTCACCTTTAAAACTTCCACCCTCGCAACGGCACCATCGGTGAACCCTTCGCTCCTTTTACTTGAACTAGTATGCCTTACCCCCCGCATTTTGATCCCACTTGTCTTGAATGCTGCCGCATAATTGATCTTTGCGATCCAATCATTCATCTCGCTCTCATTTTCGGCTTGAAACAGGTACTGATACCCTTTAACGCCAACAAGTCGAAAGACGTGTGGATGCTTCGTATAGGTACTTTCGTATACGGCTATGGAGTCTGCAGTCATTAGGATTATATCAGGCCTAAGAGTTGGACTTTTTTTATTGTGCTAAAGAGAAAATAAGGATGGTTATAAATAGTTAGTAAAAAGTTTGGATGAAAATTCAATACATTTCTACTTCTGTTAGTAATAGTTTCTTCTACTCGAATACTTTTCTATAACGAACTACTAATCTACACCGACTCCTGAAACTCCCTACTCACATTCACATCTTTAGCCACGTTCGGTTGATCATCAAACAAACTCAAATCTTTGAAAAACATCAATTGACTTCCTGATAGTACAACGCCAAATTGCTTCCAGGTTCTTCCGAAACCGGTGGCTCTTTTGCCTCCTTCGAGTAGGTCGATTTTTCTACCAAGTTTACCTGCTTTCGTTATTTTTAGCAGAAACACTCCAGGGTCGTTACTGACAGGATGTATAGCGGAAACGGAACTGGACGTGTCTCCGTATTGACGACGTGATCGAATGCCAGTAATGCGGACCGTAGAAGCCGTAGTGAATGCACGGTGGATGGAAGCCGTGTCGAATGTGGGTAGGGTGCCTTTGTACGAGAAGGGATTTGAGGTTGGAACAATGGATTTGAGGTTTGGCGTAAAGTCCGTCGGAATTTTCTTTGAATGTAAACAGAGAATGTGTTATAATACTTTCGTACATTTTTATGATATTAATGTTTTGTCAGTAGTACTTACATGTTGAATAACAAAATATGGATCGTTTCGAGGACGGTTGATAATTTTCCTATGACCATCCTTAATTCCGCCAAAAAATTTCGAATGCTTTAATTCTTGTGGTGATGCCATTAAAGTCATGCCGTTTACATCTGTGTCATCCTCTGCGTAAATGAACTGTGTAAACGTTATATTATCGTATAGTACTTCGAGTATCTCTTCCGGAACGCCATCTATTCTGACATTGCGAACAAATTCTTCTTTTGTCATTTTCTTCTTTACACTCTTGTTGAAAGCATCGGTGTGAAGCATGAGTAGCGAAAATGCCAGGATATATGAGGTATCTGTTTACGAGAGTGAGTATATGTGTGAAAGGTAGGCAGGCGTGTGAGCGTTCACCTCGGCATTGTTTAGAAACCGTTGTATTTGAAATAACAAGATGGTTCATACCTTGCGATGGGAATAGATCGGGATTGCATTCATGATATCGACGAGCAAATGATTCCATGATTCGATCGATTTGTTGCGTCTCTTTGGGTAAATAGCAATCCATGAGAAATTTCCTGTGACATTATTATTACCTATTTAATCGCGGGTAAAGTTATGAAAATAAATGACAAATGACATATAGTATTCGGTATACCTTAATGCAATATCTATTGGATCTTCGGTAAAGTCAAATGATTCCATATACGTCAAGAGAACAGCCTCGTGGAAGACATCTTTACTGTAATAGTGTCGAATATTTAGTTATTTCGATTATTCTTGGGCGTTCATCTGCTGGACAGACAAGCCATTATGATACGCCTGCTCCCAACACCTTCTCGAACTACTTCGACTAATTACTACATTACATTCTCGATCACTCACTTTTTTGCCAATAGCGTCGCCAACTCGGATTTACTCAGAGTATCCTGCATTCTTTCTAAATACTGTTGAGGAGTCTCTGCTTGATTGCCAATGGTATGCCGTCGTTCGGGCCTGTTTGTTCCAAGCATATCAGGACTTGCTGAATTTAGGTCAGTTGCAGTCATGTTGGGCATTGAGCCTGTACGTTTATAATGTCTTTTGGAAGGAATGTTAAAGACGGACGACGTCGTGGAGGATAGGGAATCGGTGGGTGACGTGGGCGGAGCAAGCGACGAAGTAGGTATTTCGTTGTGTAATAAAGCATAGTTAGTAGGTAATGTCTGGTTATTCGTGATCTCTGCATTACGCTCTGCTGTGTCGTTTCTCTCTGGAACTGGGTTATTCTCTATTCCATTTCCACCTTTCCTTTCACTTGATTCAATAAATTTAGTCTGTATAAATTGTAATTTCTTGCTCATGCTATCCATTCCGTTTATTTTGTCTATAGCCATTCCTTCAAACAAATTAATATGTGGTATTTCCACATCGTTTAGCGATAGTTGTTTCTGGGGATTGCTTGCTATGGTTGTAGTTACCGTAGTCACTGTGGTGGTAGTGGTGGTGGTGATGACGGTTGTTTCGTCGTAGTGTTCAGCGTCGTGCTTATTGCCAAATATCAGATTGTGGATTGAGTTGCTTGGTTTTTTAGGTTGGGAATCGGTGCTTAGACGTTTAGCATTAAACATAGTGAACAGGAAGTGGCTGACAGTTTGCTTTAAATTATGCCGACAGCCTTACACAACCGAAAACTATCTAAGGGCCAATGTTTGAGCTCTTATTATTGTTTCAGTATATTTGATGTCAGTGTTTATACTAAACCTGAAACCGAATGAATGGCAACACTGCTTTTTATTTATTATTAAAGTTGAGCACAGACGATATTTGACTTTTTGAAAAATAAAATACTTATACTAATAAAGGGAAAAGTTTAAATAATATCACGAGTTTGGATGGAATTATGGTTATTCCGATGCTATTTCTGCTTGACGTTACATGCATTAATGTATCGAAAAACAAAACTAATAATAATTCTCACATTCAATGGCACTGATACAAATTTATCAACGAACATGAGCTTGATTGATAATTGTTTACTGCGAACATATGGGGACAAAACGAGGAGAGATTTGTTTGCTAGGATGATTGTTTAAATTAGATCGGCTACGTTCATAGGCATTTCATCAATTTGTGTGTTGTAAAATTGTTCTATTAAATCAAGAGGCAAAAGAACGTGTAAGTAGGACATGCGATGATTAACTTAAAAAAAATAAGCTTATATCCAATTACCTATATCACGCAACATTCGCACATCTTCGCTCGCAACAAAGTTAATGGCAACTCCTTTTCTACCAAACCGACCGCCTCTCCCAATACGATGAATATAGTTCTCACGATTGGTTGGCAAATCATAATTGATAACCTATTCCATGAACAAGAGGAAAAATTAGCATCCTTTATATAACCCAATCTCTATCTTTTCCTATCTCTTCTTGTCCATACCAAAGAGACTTGCTGCACATCAATTCCTCTGGCCAGCAAATCTGTGGTAATCAACACCCTCGATGACCCGCTTCTGAATTCCTTCATAATGACATCTCGCTGCGCCTGATCCATATCACCATGCATGGCAGAAACGGTGAATTCCCGCTGGTGCAACTTTTCCGTAAGCCAATCGACTTTTCTTCGTGTATTGCAAAAGATTACAGCTTGAGTAATTGTGACAGTCTCGTAGAGATCGCAGAGAGTATCGAGTTTCCACTCTTCCTTTTCGACTGCAATATAAAATTGCTTTAAGGGAAAAAAAGGAGAAAAAGAGTTATGATGTGAGTATGATACCGAGTAGATGTCGTAAAATCAAACAATACACAATTGATGCATGTATATTATGGTAATAATTATTATTATCCCTTCTTCATTGGCTGCTTACCTTAATACCCTCTAAAGTTAACTCATCCCTTTTGACCAAAATTCTAACAGGTTCTCTCATAAACTTTGTTGTTACTTCAAGGACGTCTGCAGGCATAGTAGCGCTCAACAGCACAACCTGTGTGCTAGGTGGCAACAGCTGAAACACATCATAAATTTGTTCCTTAAATCCTCTACTCAGCATCTCATCCGCCTCATCCAGCACAAACATTTTAATACTGTCTGTCTTCAATGCTCCACGGTTAATCATGTCATATACTCGTCCGGGCGTACCAACGACAACGTGTATTCCTTGTTCTAACTTTTTAATACCTTCACGGACGTTCGTGCCGCCAATTGAAGCATGACATTCAACATTCATAAAGTCACCGAGGGCGATGACAACTTTTTGAATTTGCTGAGCAAGTTCGCGAGTCGGAGCTAAGATGAGTGCTTGGCATTTATTGACATCCATGTCGAGTTTTTGAAGAATGGAGATGGAAAAAGTGGCAGTTTTTCCGGTGCCTGATTGGGCTTGAGCGATTACATCATGGCCCTTGATTACCGGAAGGATGGCTCGCTGCTGGATCGCCGATGGTTTTTCAAAACTAAGTTGGGTTGGGGGAAGAGGGTAGGAGAATAATAAAAAGCGATAAACACATCAATACAAGGTTGAGTATTGAGAATATAACATCTGTTTTTGAAAGCTCTATTTTCTCTCTTCACTTACCCGTATGCATAAATACCACGCAATAATTCAGCCTTGAGACTCATATTGTCAAAATTATCAACAATTTCCTCCCAATTAGACTAATTGACAATGGAGCAAATCAGATTACGGGAAAAGTCGGGTTTGGAAAGAATCAACAAGATAGAACATGTAGATTGTCTGCGTCGAAAATTTACCTCAATTTCTGCTTCTATTTCATTCGTGTCGTCTCTGTCTTCCGTAAAGATCAATCATTTAGCATTTGAACAAAAACAAGACAAGTAAAGCAAGAGCACAGAACCAAGAGGAAAAAAAAGAGAGGAGAAAATCACAAAGAAAGAACGGGAGAAGAGCATAAAGTAGAAGTGCATAATACATATATATTGTTATATTTTTATATGCTCGTCTATATGATGCTCGACTCGTTTAACTCGTAACACTTCAATGGCTGTTCAATAGGAAATGTTGAGGCAATCATAGCATACCACAAACTAATAACCTCAATATCATCCCTTCAAGTTTGATTATTATTATTATATCATTACTGTTCCACTATTACCCTCCTCTTTATAGTTAATAAGTAGATCCAAACCACACAGCTTTACGCAGTCGGTTACCATCTCTCCATCAATCCCTATGATCCTGCGTCGTCGCATTGCAGAATACGGTATGCAAAGCAGTTTCTCGATGCTCATATCACAATATCTTGACCGGTCGCGCCTCTCCGTTCTACTCCCGATGGCACTCTATCTTGTTGATTCAGTACATCTAGCATTTCTCTCTCAAGCAGCCACTGAAGCATAAAATATTAGGCATGCTCTCTCTTGCATGTCTTCTCCTATCTCCTTATTCGCTACATGTTCTGCATATTTAATACTCACGCCATGATTACTGTTTTTCTTTGTGTTCGTACGTATAAATTGTTAATACGAGAGTTTTGTTTATAGTGTCAGTTTGTCAGGCGAAAAGATTTTTTTCATTTATTGGGAAATTTTTTTTTTACTTCACAGGAAAGAATGTGATTGGATAAAGGAAATATGCGGCGCGCATGTTTGCCGACTCTTCGGATTTGGTTCCCTTTGAGGATAATGCAGGCTAGGGGATTGACGGGGGGGAAATTCAGCTTGACTGGAAAATTAGACAATGCTGCGATTTGAAGAGAGAGAATTCAGGGAGAATCCGTAACGGTAACATTCAAAACCCAATTTGTTCGAGTGTTGATTGTTTGTGTAGTCTGCAATCTGCAGAATGTCGATTGTCGATTGTCGATTTCTGTATTTGGATGGTAATTTTTAGGTGAGATTTGCTGGCAAGTCTTTTGGGCGTGTCTTTTGGGCGTGTCATTTGGGGGTATCATTTGGGGGTATCATTTGGGGGGTAAATATTTCAGGGGTCACACATATAAGCAATATTAAAGGTACCAACGGTCACGAGATGCGAATCCCCTGTTAGTCAGCACCTCGAATTTAAATTATCACTGTAATCTCATGGACAATACAACTTTGTCTCAGTTAGTTTATCCACATAAAGTCCGAGTCACTAAATTTTAGACTGTAAATTAACCACGTCTTCTCGTGCTACAAATGAATTATCTGGCTGTTGTTTAATAAATTCGATCATCGTTTTAACGCCGCCTCAAACGAAACCTTTTCTGAGTCTCACTGACTGCTGCCATTACAATCATTTGTATCTTCCTCATTATCCTTGGATAAGACTATTTCAATAATGTCGTCATTATTTACATATCAGCACGAAGTATGTCACCAATCGTACTACTTCCGCAAGCAAATATTCCTGCAATTTGATTATGAGACAATAAGAATGACAAATTTCACATTTCTGTAAAGCCGAACAAAATAATAACAATAATACAACATTTTATTTATTGATTGGTGATATTACTCTCGTGAAAGCAGAAAGTGGCTCTGTTATTCAGACATAGAAGTCAGTAGAGATGATCTGTTACTCATACGGCGATTACTGCGTGATATAGAAAAAGTAAAGATAATAGAGTCAATTAAATTGGTATCAATAAAATTAAAAGTTTATAGCGCAAATATGCGGTTACGCGATTTGTAACAATTCTATAATCGGTCTCGCGTTATCCCTTAGTCTGTAGGCCTAATTTGCCCTTAATTTTGTGGTGCATTTTCAAGGTTGCTGTTATCATTCTATCTGCACTTTAGCCATTAATAAAAAGATTTACCTTATTCTGAGGTTTTAAACAAGCTAAAAATTGTAGCAAAAACAGATATGTACGAAGAATAATACATATTTACATAATAAATTTACAAACCTTTTTATGTAAATTTTAGTTTTTTGTAAATGTTACCCTATTGAGACTATGTTAGAGTCACCCTATTATTAGACGCTATTTTTTCCCCATCTTATCGTTATTCCAAATCTAAGGAGCCAAAAACAAACTGATGAGTTGTTGAAGACAGCCACTTGACTTGATATTATTTCCAGTCATCATTTTTTAAAGCCATTTTTACTATGTTATTATCAGTTTGTTTATTAATATGGGCATTTTATCTAGTCTTTACAATTTCAACAAACTATATTTCGCAACAAAAAGTTGCCTCTGTGACGAATAAATTAAAATGTTGAATAATTTAATTTAATTTTACTTTACGCACAAGATTAAGCGGTTTGAGACTTTTTTACAGCTTGTCTATTAGTATTACCATTAACAGTCAGTTGAAAATACTAAAGCGCAGTACTTTCGTGACTTATATGATCAGTTGAATAATCGTTGGATCCGAATAGGCTCTATAGAACGATGAAATTATGTATCACGTGACTTTTTACAACGGACCTGAGGTTTCCATACAGGAGATATAAAGCAATTTTGTCAATAAATCAAAATTCCGTATGGAAAACGGCCCGGCACATCTGTGGCTCAGACACATTCATTTTAGTTGCAATATTTATTGCGTGTGGTGTAATTATTCTAATGCTTTTATAGTAACAATTTCAAACGCGAATTTCTGCGCATCAATTATCATTGGTCACATCCTGCATACAATGAAAACAATTATAGAAGATTCCAATACTGCGTAATTAATTACACTCACCGGTAAAAAGTATTGACTCGGCTTAGTAAACCGTATGAAATATATATATTGGTACAGTCTAATTAACCTGGTTATAACGAATTCTATGGGCTGGAAAAAATATCTAATATTCCTTATAACCAAAGTCTCTTTTTATAGCAAAGATCATAATCATTTAATTTGGAGACAATCTTCAACAGATATTCGTTATATCCAAAGTTTGTTATAACCAGATTAGACTAAATATTTTCAGAAAATACAATCGATTAGCTTCAAACGATATAAAAATTATTGCGACTTACATAGTACGTACAGACAATACAGAATAGAGGTTTTCAGAAAAACAAAAATAAAAAATTTCATACGTTTTACTGAGCCAAGTCAATACTTTTTACCGGTGAGTGTATATTAACATCATACGCATCTTTCAACGACGACAGTCGAGAAATGAGAAAGATGTGAACGGCGAAATATTCATGTGACTTTGCGCCGAAATTAGAATAGCACAAAAGATGGGTAGTCATCCCTCGTTTATATCCCCACTTTGGAGCGGAGACTTTCTGGGGATATATCTGAAGCTGGGATATACCATATATAGTTTGTTAAGAAAAACCCGGAATTTTACCGATTTGATAAAAACGCCCAATTTGTAAAGAATTTTCGATGCGTAAAAATGCAAATAAACATGATGTTTGAACATAAATAAAATGCTGTTTGCGACAAAAAAAGCTCTCTTACACATGCATACCTTAACCACATAATGGCTATTTCGAAACAAGAACAACAACGGTAAACAATATTATATTTGTGGAACGAGAAAGTGCACAATGGTGCTAAAATACATGCACAAACACATTCTCTTTCCATAATCCATGACAATATTAAAAAAAAAAAAAAAAACTGGAATTGAATTAAAACGATACATTTTCCCATCTCCGTCGTACTGCCGCCTTCCTGTTTCCATCGTACTGCTTATTATTTATTATTATATCCAATGATACTGCGGTCGTAATGTTGGTGTAACTCGTCGGAAATCACGGAGGAATACGTCATGCTCTTGACACTAAACGTGCGAGATAGGGAAAATTAAGAGGAAGAATTGAACATAAGAAAAGAAATGGTCAGAAGTAATTGACAAACCACGTACTGTAGCTTTCCTTTTTCATGATGATACTTGTCCATTGCTTTTTTGTTACATATTACGGTGATAAACAAATTAATTGTTTATTTCACTTTATCATAACCAATACATCAATAAAAACTGTAACATTTGCATGATAAAATCCACTTGTCTTGTTTTAAGCCTAAAACAAGCAACAAATTAAAGTTCTGGTAGCAAATGAATATTTCACATAAAATGCGGTTAAGAGGTCAAAGTGGAGACTCAACTATACATAGATGTTTATGTAACACGAATAACATGTATAGTAAGGTGGGACATAGATCAGATTCTATGAGATCGGGATATGTTGCGGTAATACAGTATCTCTGAGGGAAATTCGTCCAACAATTGGGGGGATACAAGACTATATTTTGAATGTCGAAGTTTCTATAATCGGAATTTACCTGCAGGCTCAAATATTATCCCTTCATTGGACATTCAGATGGCTTCTCCTCCGTAAATAGAAATATTATGAACTATACGACGTGTCGGTTTGTGCGACCTGGCAGGTAAAGGAAGTTTCTGAACGAACTTGATCATGTATTATTTTATTGGACATTCTAATTTTAGTCTTATATTTCTTTTAACAGGAGTGTGTGTAATCCTAAAATTAGCGTGTGGCACACCTTTCATTGTACTTAAATAACGGAAAAGATTGAATTCAATCAGTGTTGCGGACCGAGTCTGGACGTTACCACAATTACGCCCCCCTCGCCATTCTAACCTTCTTACGAAACTTTTAGAAATGTCAACCAAAACTAATACTTATCCGCCTCCATACGATGCAACTGTGCTGCAAATTCCAAGCATGGCAGCAACAAGTTCGCCGGGGTCGACTGTGTATATTCAAGATCCGCGGACGGGTCATTTGACTCCGGCGTTTATTCCAAGCGGAAATGAACATGCGTATACAAATACGAGCGGAAATTACACTACGGGGAACGATAGCTTTCAATATGTTCCAGCTGGTAACCAAACCAGAATACCCAATCCAGCTTACGTCCGACCAGACAGCACAATTACAGCGTCTCCGCCGAACGTGATTGTAAATGTTCATACTAATCCAAATACAAAGGGATGGTGTTCTTTTTGTCGTACGAACGTTGATACATATGCAGACAGGGTGATTACGTCGGAGGCTTTAATTTGGTGTATAGTGTTGCTTATTCTCTTTCCGCTGTTGTTCTGGATTCCTCTTGTGTGGGGGCGTGCGAATGTCAGACTATGTTGTGTTTGTAAAACTCGAGTTAATGGGTAGTGCTTCATAAACGATTGAAAGCCGTAAGTTGAAAAAAGGCGATGGGTGTAGAGGGAAACCCAGGCAGAAGACGACTATCACAATATTATTTATATGGAACAGTGTATTTGTCTCTTTTTTCTTTCTTTTTGGACTCGAACACTTTTTACAGTGAACAATGTTTCTTTATTTTTATAACAGTCAAAGGAACATAGCAGAATGAGCTATATGAAACACTTTTATCATTTTCCCAGTGGACAGTGAATTCTTTTGCTCTTTGGCGTTAAAATAGCTTTTTCAATTTTTGATAAAATTCGAGAGTAGGATTTAAACATAACCTGTTACCATAATGTAATATAAATATAACAAACATATCAAATACAGTTCGTATCTACTGTTTTTTAACTTATATTCATGTATTATTGTTTGTAAATTGAAGTAAAGATATTATTCACATTAGTCTGCTTGACGGTACCGAATGGCGTATAACGGAGGTTCAAAATATACGGCTGATCGACAGTATGATGCGAAAATCGTATGACCAAAAATCGTATGAGATCTCCTCATCTGCTACAACCAATCACTATTCTACAATTTTATCACGTGATAAACTACTATTGAATTCTGGAGCCAGAATTCCTTGTTCGACTGTATACTATAATTTATGCTATATGAATTCAGCAGTAACCAAATTACTTTTTCCACCTGGGAAAAGGTTGTCTGTATAATGATTTTATATTTAATTTTCAGCCTGTTAAATCGAAATACCGTTCATTATACAGATACTGTATCCTATTGAAATAAAGATTCCCTCCTCCATCTTTTTGATAAAGAGTAAAAGTGAAAGCGGGACTACTTCCCTGGGGTGGCTTCATCTCTTGTAGAGAAATATTAATATCCGTTATTTACGTGTATTATCGGAAATGTTATTATTTTTGTCCTTTATTTTGATACTAATACTTTGATATAGGAATTCTATGACCAACAAACCGGGTTGCGGATACTCATTAGTTGAAGTTCCTTGTAAGGTCCTAGCAATTACATACAATTCTCTGAATTGATACTTTGTATGTAAGAATCCTCGCGATTAACAAACCAGGCGACTAAGTATTCGATCATTGATACTTTGTCGTAAGATTTTGGCGACTAATAAACGAGACGTGAGATGTATCAATTTAAAAAGACTGCGATTATAAGACTTATGTTTAATACAAAAGAGGCTTCGTAATAGAAAAGACAATGTATAACATTGAGAGTTTAATATACTCGTTAGAAGGTTGATACTCGTTCAATCAACAAAAGTCATTGTGAATTTATCGTTGCTTTGTTTAAGCTACTGTAAACCATTGATGAGAGGGAAACTATGCCAAAATGTATTGGAACCACAGAGACACGAAGCGAAATGTTGATACTCTTTGACGGAAATACAATAGAGCATTACAGGGAAAGAGAAATATTAATGTTGAGGCTGAATCTAACCTTCATTAGCGAGATAATATTTACGAGTATAGTATTAAATATTATACTAATATGAACGGCATTCTTCGTCCGCTACTATGTACCAGGTACATGACCTTCAGTAATATATTATTCGTCATTGTTCTAACGGCAGTGTTATTAATTCCCTAAATATATTAACAAAATTAATAGGCCGTTAAGAGTAGTAATTTCTCATTCAATTGTTATATATTTATAACTATCTTTTGCCTAAGATATACTGTACCGTATATTTGCCATTGTATTGGTAAGTTTGTGACTAGTGTATTACGAAACTTGAATCATGAAAGCGTAAAATCATTCATCTAGCAGAAAAGAAATTATTCTTTAGTAATTATTATTATATCTTATTGCAAAATTAACATTTATTACCATTGCTCTGAGTCATGTGTAAGGTACCTCATTTCTAAGCTAAACTTATTGATATTAATCAAAATAAGATTTGTTCACTATAATTTGCAAAGCAATACATTGACGCGGGTGAAGTTCCTACTATAGATGAATTGAAGGATAGCGAAATTGGTGAATTAAGCCGGAAAAGAGTCCCATTGGTGTCAAAATGTGTTTGGGAGTGCCCGCATCGGAAACTGGCGGTCTCCAAGCTATGATATAACAATGAATTTTATTGATATCATATTGTACGTCTCATCATAACTTGTTTAGAACGAAAATTATCAGTTTAACTATCGTCAGAAGCGTAATGTTATTGACATTCCGAGTCAAATGATATCATCAAGTCTGTTTTACATGCGTCGAAATTTTATGATCCTTGGCAGCAAAAGTTCTGTAAAATCATTTGTCTAGCAATAGTGAAATCGTTCCTAGCAAGAAGGAAATTATTCTCTAAAGAAATAATTAGTTATGATAATGTCCGATTTTAGAGATAGAATTATAAAGATATACTTAAGTAGAGTAGTATAATAAAGTTGGCTAAGTCGGTGGAAGCATCGACACTACAGGGCCTATTGTCGCGGTGAGGGAGCGCGAAGAAAACCGCTGACAGTGTCAACAGTCTTATAATAATAAAGGCTTGACACCCGCAAATGTTGGATGTAATCCTGCTGTTAATGTAGATTTGCTGACACCTTGAGTACCCACAAAAGAATTCAATAGTAAAAGCAAGCATTTTTGATTTTGTGTATCCTTTATTAAGCACAGCTAAGGTGGACCTTTGCTGCTTTTCACATCATAAGTAATACATATGTTTGAATTAAATTATAACTAAGTTTAAGGATGCAGGGGAAGTTAGAATGACCCAGAGAAAGACAGTTCTAGGCTAAAGCCTGACCATGTCAATAATAGATTTGACAGGAGGCCAGAGATGCTAGAGAGGTAGACCAAAAGGAGAGGATGAGGTAGAGAGAGTTTGTTGGATTTCTTAGGTGGAGGGAATGGGCTTTACACCAAAGACATGGTGAGGGTATGCTTTCCAGATAGTATAGAGGGCTGCTTACTGGATAAGCCTCCCAGTCTGTTGGTGGGTGTGATCAGGGGCCTCTCTCACCAACTCTCTCACCAACTCGCTCTCTCTTCTCTTTGGTGACTAAAGGCGCCGCCTATTAAACAAATCGAGTTATACAGTATGGGACACAATCAATTTCATCGCATCACATGAAATCTATCATAAAAAAAAACCTATCCCCGATCCAGATAGAAACTCACTAATATCACATTAAGCATTCTCCTTATATAGGATGTCTAATATACGAATTCTCGTCGGTAAATGCTGCTTCTCGATCTATTAACTACAATTTGAGCCTTTAACTTTGACCCTTATTTTACCTTTCTACCAAAAACAAAAGGCTGCAAACGTGTAATTGACTATGCAGTAAAGATCCGTGTAAATGCCGCTCGTACGGCGGTTGAGACTAATAACGTCAAACATTCCCTAAACCCATTTGACGAAATTGCTGTGGAAGAAGCAGTTCGCATCAGACAGCGTCTTCCGTCCCGTGTATCAGACATTATCGCACTCTCATGTGGATCCGCAAAGAGTGCAGAAGTTCTAAGAACTGCCATGGCCATGGGAGCTGATAGAGCTATACATGTAGAAGCGGAAGATATTAAGTTGCAGCCGTTGAGTGTAGCCAAGTTATTTAGGGCAATAGTTGAAAAGGAGAAACCGAATTTGGTAATTCTTGGAAAGCAGGCTATTGATGACGATAGCAATCAGACTGGGCAGATGCTGGCAGGATTGTTGGGCTGGCCACAGGTAAAAAAAAAAAAGGACAGGAGCGAGAGATGAAGGGAGCATATTTAGACTGTGAATGCATGCGTATTGAGGGAGGGTGGGTTAGGCAGAAGATGACGCAATGGAAGGATGCCGTCTCTCTTGAGCGTGACGACGACGACGACGATTATTATACGAGTTATATGGTGGAGTAACTGAATTATTCATTGCTAAAGTCATTTTCTTTGAAAAGATTACTTTCGCATCAAACGTAAACATTGAAGACGATAATCTAAAAGTTACTCGCGAAGTTGATGGAGGGTTGGAAACATTAAGCAGTAAACTTCCAGCCGTTATCACAGCTGATTTGCGGTAAGCAACAATTCGTCATTACAATATTCTCATTCCTTAATGAAACCGTAATTTCTGAGAACTAATCTTTTTCTCTTTTATTGTTACTTTCCATCATCGCATTCTCATTCCCTTTAAACTCAAACAAAAGACTTAATGAACCGCGCTTCGCCACTCTTCCCAATATTATGAAAGCCAAAAAGAAACCTCTCGTCACATACACCCCTCAAGATCTCAATGTAGACATAACTCCTCGTTTAGAGGTGCTTTCTGTAACTGAACCGCCACCTCGACAAGGAGGCGGTACCGTTGGAAGCGTTGATGAGTTGGTCTCTAAACTTAAGGAAGTTGGGGCACTCTAATATAGACTTCAGATTAAATAAAAATAGACGTGCAGTGTGCAGATACAAGAGAGGGGAAGGAAAGGGGAAGTAAAGAAAAATAAAGAAAAAGGGTGAGAGAGAGAGATAAAAAAGCGAAACGATAGACGGTGGAAAGGAGGAGAAAAATAGTTTACAAGATGTGATCTTAGAATTCAAGAGAATCTTCATCGTCATTTTGAGATTGAGTATTTTGAGCTGTGTTATTTAAATAACAAGAAAAAAAATAATAAACGTTTTATGAACATTTGGTGAGAGGATTGTAATGTTATAAACTAAATAATTAACAAAACCCCTGCTAGTCTCGGTCTCTCTCTTGTACATACCGTGTTCTGGATTATCAGTCCATCTATACCCACACGTTGTGTCAGCACAAACATAATATAAAGTCATCTTCGCATCTGCCCTACGTGAATGTGATTCAAAAAACACAGCTTCATTATGTCCACATTGCGGACATAGTTTCTCTGTACGGGGCAGAGTCGGATCTGCTGCGAGATCACTGATTATCTGCGTCTGCTCACTTTAGAAAAGGTGGGTGAATCATATTTTGAAAGGATTAATAACGCATTGCCAATAGATCATTACAGATCAAGAGAAAGTGTACCTGTCTGGAGGGTCAATGTCATTCCTGTAGACTAGAGAGTTTTCCGATCCCTCTTGGTACTCGCAATTACGACACGCATAGAGAAGTGTCTCCCGTTCTTTGTCTTGGCGGGGATACAGCATATTGTTACTGAGGTTCGTTCCCGAGAATTTTTTAGTTAAACGACCAAGAGTGAGACATTTCTACCGGAGACTATTTAGCTTAGCGTACCAGTCGGCACAAAACTTGAAAGTAGCCATTTCTGTAGTTTACGTGTTGAAATCCCAATCTGCGACAAAGGCGAAAAAAGCTCTTGGTTGATCAATAACAGTATTTGAATGTCAAGCAACTTTTTTATTTGACTGGCTCAGAAAGTTGGTGCGACAATGCTAAACTCATCCAATTAAAATCCATATTAATATATGTAATGAGAAGATCTAGTTGAATTATTCATGTGTAAGTTGAACTCATACTACGCTTAAAGACATTCATCTATCAGATGGTAGCATTCATATTGGGACCTTAATCGCTAGTTTTAGAATATACAGTTGCTAGTAAAGTGCATTAAATACACATTTATTTCGATTCCCTGGAGTGTGTCCATCGATTCACAAAACGCGCGTTATAATTGATATACTTGTGCCCTAACCTATATGCTAATGGTTGTGTTAAATCCTAGTTAAGGTCGAACTATATTTAGCACGTCAAATCCCAAGGTCAATATTCAAACGCTCTTCCTTAGATCATACTACAGCGGTGTTATATGTAATTAGCGTTATAATGCCAAAACGAAATAAACATACCAGACATCGAATGCATACCAAAACCTACTTTCTGGCGATTGAGACATATTTATGCTGGTGATGTTTTGGTGTTGATAGCGTTGCCTTTACCTAGCTTTCAGTAATTTAATCATCACGTGATAGTTTTTGCCAAATTCGTTGTTCCTTGGGCCGTTTTCATCATCATTGAGCATGTGGAGAGGCCATAAATAAGGTTTCTAGGCTCGATAGTGAGAGAACAGCTGATTTTTTTTCTTCAATTGCTTCCTTCAGGTGACTAACAAGTTTGGTTTGGTTAAATGCGTCTCGATATTAATATTAAAATTAAATCATCTTGATGACGTCACAAGTCAGATGTTCATTACTGACCATACGAATGCTTTTTTGGTGTTCCCGTAGTTTTTACCTCGCATATTTATACTTAGTGATTCCCAAGTAAGTTTGCCCTTCGCCTTTTTTCTACATATTGTTGGCATTTTTTTCTGTGTTCCTTCTTTTCTTATGCGTAACTTTTAACTTCTTCCATTAGTGAGTGTCCTGATCGAAACTTCAAATGGTGACATAGTGATCGATCTCTACACCAAAAGGTGTCCTCAAACTTCTTTAAATTTTCTGAAATTGTGTAAAATCAAGTACTACAATTTTTGTTGTTTTCACAATGTGCAAAAGGACTTTATGATTCAAACAGGAGATCCGACTGCTACGGGGAAAGGAGGAGAATCTATCTTCGGTATACTCCATGGTCCACAAAGACGGTATTTCCCAGCAGAGGTTCATCCAAAGCTAAAGCATAAGAAAAAAGGAACCGTATCCATGGCTGTTGCTAGCGACGGAAGAGAAGGCGGTGGAGTCAGCGGATCGCAATTCTTCATAACGACTGCTGATAATCTAGATTATCTTGATGGAAAGTACACTGTTTTTGGAGAAGTTGCAGAGGGATTTGATACTCTGGAAACCGTCAACGATGCTTACTGTGACGAATCTGGTCGGCCATACAAAGATATTCGAATTAAGCATACCATAATCCTTGATGATCCATTTCCTGATCCAGAAGGACTCGTAGTACCCGACGAATCGCCTAAACCGAGTAAAGAGATGCTAGAAACAATCCGTATCGCCGAGGATGAATCAATTGAGCCAGAACTACCCCCGGAAGAGCTTGAAAAAATGCAGCGACGGAAGGAAGCAGAGGCTCAAGCATTGACATTGGAGATGATTGGTGATATTCCATTTGCAGAAGTGAAGCCTCCTGAGAATGTATTGTTTGTGTGTAAGCTTAATCCGGTTACACGTGATGAAGACATGGAATTAATATTTTCTCGTTTTGGACCTATAAGTAGTTGTGAAGTCATACGTGATAAGAAGACCGGTGATTCGCTTTGTTATGCGTTCATTGAATTTGAGAACAAAGAGGACTGCGAGACTGCTTACTTCAAAATGAACAATGTGTTGATTGACGATAGGAGAATTAAAGTAGACTTTTCCCAATCGGTGTCCAAGTTGCATAGAGACTGGGTTGTTTCGAAGATGAAAAAGTTGAGGGGCGCTAGTGGCTACGGTGGCTCGCAAAACTTGGAGAGAAAGTCACGGTATCGCGACGAAAAGGAAGAGACAGAAGAGAAGTATGATATGGTGTTCAATCACGTTGGAGATTATGAGAGTGAGTTACGAAAACGTCATGCTGATGAAAAGGACGGTGAGCGATATCATGGTAAAGCATACGACATCGATCTTGACAAGCGTAGTAATAGAATGTCAGATACAAGTAAAGATCGTGATAAAATACAATCCCGCCGGAGGGATGATAGACCAGCAAAGTACTCATCAAGACGTTCGAGGTCGGCTAGTCCTCATAGTCCAAAGAGAGATAAATATGATAGACGTGACAGAGATCACAAATATGATAAAGATAGAGGTAGGAGAGGGGATCGTCATCAGTCAAGGGAACTATCAAGGGAGCGAAGGAGAGATAGATGGTAGGTACGAGTGTGAAATAGGGGATAGAGTTTGTTGAGTCAGATTCCTTAGATTCGAACGAATAAATGACTTTTTAAACGTGTACAACATGAGAACAACATGCCAAAGTTTCAATTCGCGATATCAAAACAAAATATATTACGTATTTATATTTCGATATGTATTGATTCATGTTATTAATTATCCAAAACTTTGATACTTTATGGAAAGCTAAACATCACACGATTTTAATGTTAATTGACAGTTTTCAAGTACAGATTTTTATTTTTTAGAATTGGGTTCAAAAGAAGTGAATACTCTTAAAAAAACCGAGCAAAAAGATGAAAAGTAAAACAGCAAATAATAAAGTTCTTTTAATCAATATTTATAGGTAGTCGAACAAAAAATGTGTTGAAAAGAATCTAAGTAACAGATTAAGCGAGCATCATTTGTCTAGCAAGTTCCCTCCACATCGCAAGACTCTTCTTCATCTTCTTCCTCCTCTTCCTCCTCGATATTAGCCTTATATTCACGATATCCGGCCATTAACTTTTCAAATACAGCCTCATCATCCGCTTCATCCACTATCTTCACATTTCCTGTATCACTTGCTGACTTGGCTATTTTACCTGCGCCATCAGCTTTCTTTGTTGTTGCATCGACAGATTCGTCCACAACATCCTGCTTATCCTTAACAGTGGCCTCAACCTGTTCGGCGAGTTCAGCTTCGAATTGAAGCCTTATTAATTCTTCGTGTTGCTGTTGGAAGGCCTGGTCCGATAAGGCACGAGCACTTTCAATTCTTTCGAGTGCGTCAGTGGCGATGGTTGTTATCTCTTGGATTCTAGTTTCATCAATACTGGATAAGACCTCTTCGGTAAATATACCAATAGATTTTTTGCCTTGCACAACATCTGCCGAGATCTGGGCTCTGGCTTGGGATAGCCTATTTGAGTCGGCTTTGGGATGTTTTTTGATAATTGTGTCCAAATTGAAGTTGGCTTCACTCAATTGATTTTCTAAATTCAGCTCTGCAGCTTCACGTTTGATAGATATCTCTGAACGAGCATTCTCTATAGCTTCTTTGGATTTCCTTTTGGTCTCTTTTGATTCAGTCTTTAAGGAATCTATGATTTCTTTGATAGCAGCACCAAGAGCGTATGTTTTATCAGTCACGTTTTTGGTTGAATCGGCAAGAAGTTCGTCAGCACGTGTCTTTATACTGGATATTTGGCTATCGGCAAACGACTGAAGGTTGCTAATTTTCGTTGCGATTTCATCCGCTCGAGCTTTAGCTAAATTGTCGATATCGACTTTGAATTCAAAAATAGACTCGCTTACGGTATCTTCATGTCGCGTAAGTTCAGACTTGGCGGCAATGTCGAGAGCTGCGTTAGCTTCTTGCTTAGCCTTTCTCTCGGCTTCTTCTCTGGCTTTACGCTCGGCTTCTTCTCTGGCTTTACGCTCGGCTTCTTCTTTGGCTTTACGCTCGGCTTCTTCTCTGGCTTTACGCTCAGCCTCTTCCTTGGCTTTACGCTTGGCTTCTTCCCTAGCCTTCCGCTCGGCATCTTTTTTGGCTTTGGCTTGACGCTCAGCCTCTTCTCTTATTTTGCGTTCGGCCTCTTCTTTCACTCTACGCTCCTCTTCTTCCTCCGCCTTGCGCTTGGCCGGGTCTTCGAACAGAACTTCGTATTTCTCCTTAATGAAGTCAATCGCAGCCATTATGTGGGGATGTACATGTTCATAGTAAGCTGGAATGGTGACCTCGTTATAAAACTGTTTGGTCTTTTCCCAACCATCGGTTGCTGTTGGTTTTACAGTTGTATAATAGATATCTGTTGATTTATCCCATCCTTTCGCCAACACGGGAGATACCTCTTTCTTATACCATGGTAATATGACAGTCTTGTATTTTGATACACCTGCGTCATAGGCAATAGCAACTTTTTCCTTCCCTTGAGATGCATATGGACCGATAGCATGACTGAGCTGACCATAGTAGTTGTCTACATGTTCTTTGGCATTATCGTTGTAGGATTTCTTTACGTCGCGCCATAGAAGAGTGGTCGGAATCTTGACATACTCCACATAGTACGAGTATGCTGTTTGCAAATGTGGTTCAACAGCCGCGTATAGAGGCTTTCCGTGAGTCTCATACATAGGCTGGACTTGTTCTTCGATTGACACTTTTGCGACAGTTATAGATGGCTCGATGTATTTTTTGAAAAGGTCGTTCTTGAGAATATATCGAGATATACCATTTGTGCAAATAAGTTGGTTTGTCGGTGATGATTCAAGTTCGCTAGGCGTGATATCAGAGCAGACGAGGACAACATAGAAAACGTATGCAAAGAAGAGGCGTTTTAGCGTGATTTGACCTAAAAGCTGGGAAACCATGCCTTTTGACTTCTTTGATTTTTTGGACTAATAGAATGAGAAGTTTATATGGTTTAGAAATAGATTCATTACTTTGTAGTAAAACACCAAACAGATAAAGTATTACCTTTGTATTCTTTTTCTGAAATGGGAATAATACGAACAGGTTCGAAGTTGGTTCATAATCAATTAAAGAGTTTAGTATACATCATTTCAGGTACCATCACGAAACAATTCCAATTGATTACTATGCTAATCCTGACTAGTAACCTCTCTTTAAACATCAAACAATAAACTGTTTCCCAACTATTTTCCGAGTTTCAATCGACTATTCCCAGACATAACTATTTTCCCATGTCTTCAAAACTGACCTTTCCTCTTTCGGTGGCGCTTCCTCCGTCATTTACTGCCTTTTGCTTGTTTGGAAGTTCTTCAGTCGTCCTTAGAGACTTTTCACTTTCAACGTCGGGCGGAGGCGTGGGGGGCAAATCACTTTTCTTGCCGCCTCGTCCGTTTACTGACGGGTTCTGTTCTGACAATTGGGTTTTGTTTTTGGATTTCTTCCCCATGTTGCAAGTAGCTTAATATTTCACTACTTTGATGTTTCTATACTAATATATGTTAATGTATTCTATATAATCGTATTATTCAGTTAATTGCTACGTGTAATGTTAGCATGTATATATTGCACCCATTCGAAAGGTACGCCGAGAGAAGGCTGTTCAAAAATCCAAGAATTCGCCGGGAATTTTTTTTCTGTTGCTTTTATGTAGCACCAATTGAAGGATTTGGAAATTGGAAAAATATCTCAGGGCTAGGGCGCCCTTTATATCAGATGAATTCCTGCGCAATCAACATGTGCCACTTGGAAGTTTGATGTGTACATTGTTTTCTTGATAAATAATGATACATACTTTTTTTGGAACAATTAATTATTTGAAGGTTTGTGAACGTTCACAATCTTGATTAACGAACAGTATGAACGATGTGCCTACTTTAGAATTTGTATAATGATCGGTTTCACAGGCTGCACGGTGTGCCAAATAGAATTGTGCAACAATATAAATGAGTCTGATAACATGTGATCGTATGTTTGCGCTTTCGACTGGTGTAAGCACGAAATTTTGAATATGATTGGTGACTAATGATGTAAACAATAAGATTTTGTATACGTGGTATTTATTCATACGGCCCAACTTGCCAACAAGTCCGTTTCTTCTGGGCCGATAAATGGTTGTTCAATGGTCTTAATCATGATATCACCGCAAAGAATACATTCCGACGCTACTAAATCGTCCAATTCATCCTAAAAATAAGATAAATAATGACATCGTAAATCAATGATATCACGACTTTCTTAAATGAGGGTGTATCTTGGATTGTTCTTTTGGGAGGAACTGATTATAATATTAGAACTCAGTCTCTCTTACCTTCAATTGGTCCACCTTCGGTACAACGACAGCAACATCATCTCCGCTATTAGCGGCCAGATCAGGTAATATCAACCCTTTCAATAGATCTAATCCACCCGGCTGTGATTGAGGCTTTGCGAGGGGTTTTGTTACTGCATGATTTATATTGGAGATCTCATGGGCTATTTTTTCTTGTAGTTCGAGAATACGCCGGATTTGACGGGGGTTTAGATGGTGTTTAACCTTTCGCAATAGAGAATTGATTGGTGTTGAATTGGAAGAATGGAAAGGGGGAACAATTGTGATGTAATCGCGTGATGATTGTAACTATCCCTACTCACTTTGTTGATTAAGCAGTCCGAATGGAAACCATGTTGACAAGGGAAAATATAAAATTGCCTAGTCAACATTGGAAAGTCACACAACGAGCACTTCTCATTAGTAGAAACGACGGCAAATCTGCGTGCAAAAGGCCGTCAGGAATGTTAGTGATTTAATTAGAATCTGCTAAGACCCATCCCATACATCTCCGCTCTAACAGGTCAGTCTTGTATATCCATACATTACTCACCGACAACGTAATTCCCGGATATCATCTCTAATACTTTCCGCACTTTTCGTCGCTTCTTCCATCTCAGCCTTGAGCTCTTCGATGTGTATATTATAATCCTCTAATGCAGCACAAATTTCGTCCTTGAAATCGTCAATAAGGACGAAGTCAGGGAAGAATGGGAGAATATCTTCAATCTTGAGCAGTTCGCAGTCATGCAAATATTCCATTGCACTATCTCGAGTGAAGAGAGAAAAAGACAATATTTTAGAAAATGTAGATTTAGTTTCACGTAATGAAATGCATGATACAAGTCCCAGACTCACGTTTTAATGTCCTTTTTCTTTTCCACGACGTGTCGAGCGATCTTTAGCCAAAGTTTTTTTCTTAAGGCTTCGTCATCTTCTGGTTTATCAGCATTGATTTTTGCCAACTCTAGGTCGTTATGCTTTATGAAGATGAAATTACACCATGGATTTTTATCGGTTTAGTAGGTGTCGTCGCATTGTATGTTAGTATAATGATCTCAAAGACAATCGTAAAAACCTCTCTTATTCAAATTTTCATCTTTTTCTATGTCATTCCTTTTCAGCAAAAACCCCTCTTCTTTCGACTGACCTTCAATGCTAAATCGACAGCTTCTTCATATAAACCCATGTTACTGTAAATATGTACACAACTTTGCATTTTTCCACTCTGACGACTACAGAGTCTGAGTGCATAGTCCAAATTATAGTGCGGCTTACGACCCTATGTCGAAGCAAGCGTTACAATTGGTATATGTGAAAAAGATTATAATTTCACATATAAATTTGCTAAATTTTGTCAATACATAAACATAATATACCTCAGTAGCCAGAAACTGTAATAGAGCCGATTCATCCTGAGCAGATTGCGTCGCATAAAGAGTCAAAAGGAAGTTGTGTATTGCAGGGTCTGTGTTATTCAGTTCTCGAACGACAAATTGTAGATATCGTATTGCCTGGTTCTACATGGATTTATTGATATTGTCGTGTCATTCATCCGACATCATATTAAAATGAATACTCATGCTCATGGGTCATCATATCCTACCTGTGTAGCATTCTCTGTGGATTTTGAGTGATCGTATTTTAGCAAAGCGGGTATCAAATTGCGTGGATTAAGTTCTGTCTGTCGCATCCATACATTGACAGTATCATATGGCGCGTTCTCCATTAATACTGGCGCAAATTTATAGAATAAATCGACGGAAGCCTGTACATTAAAAATTCAACAGTCACAATCAAGAGGCAGAATGTCGTTCAATCATTACTAGTTGTCTATATCACATTAATAACACCTGGGCGCTACTCCCAGTATGTATGTTTATAGCAAGCTTACCTGTTTACTGAGGACATCTAACGCCTTCTTATAATCCTTCTCTTGAATCCAGTTAGAAATGACCTTTTCGTAATCACCAATTATTGTAGCATAAAATAGCAATTCATCCACTCGCCCGTGGCTTGCGATAAGATTGTAAGTTGTACGTTTATCGAGATTAGCCTGTTCAATTGAATGTGTCTCATTTAATAGGATGATTCTCATAATAATTAAATATGTAATAACATTTACTATTTCATTATTGTTTACTTTGTGTGTATCCAAGAACACCCTAAACTCTTCTTCAAGAAATTTCTGCTCGGCAAGGAAATTTCTTGCTTCATCTGAACCAGCACTGGCAGCAGTCTGATCTTCTAACATGTTGATTTTATTAAGATAGATTTCTACTAGCCATGTGGCAATCATCATCCTTTGAATCTGATCCTATAGAAAGAAAAAAGTTAGTAAAGTGAATGGTTGTACCAATATAATGATAATGATGACAAGTAATTTTTTTTTGACATCAAAGAAGTATAAAGTTAATACCCCTCGCCGCAATTTATCCAATTTGCTCAACAAGTATTCTCTTAGAGCATCTCTTTCATCTCTCTCAACAAACTTTAAAGTAACTTCCTCGAACGCAACTGCTGATTGAGCATACGATTGAGCAGAGAGGGCATATCTGCCCTGTGAGAAGTAGTAGTCTGCTCGGGTTGTTAAAACTTTGTCACATTGAGCAGGATTCTACGTGGAAGTCATAAAGTTGGTTAGGCTCATAACAGATGTAAGCATATAATATGTTCCAATTCGAATTGCTTTGTTGTATAAGATACCTTGCAATATTGTAATGCAGTATCAAACGCTTGCCTATCCAAGTACAATCTCCATACATCTCTGTCTTCTCTCGTTATTATAAGTTCGAATATGGATAGATCAGTATATATCCAGAAAGTATTCTTCACAGTGTCAACTGTCATTGTACGGACTTCCTCCCCTGCTTTCTATTGATCAACAATACAAACGACAAATTTAGTTACTGCACTGATGATCATGCTTATCAATTGCGCGATCACTTATTATTGGAGATATTCACAAGAGGTATAAGTTCTTCATATACGATCTGATCATTCAGCTGACAGATCGCCCGTATCCGTTCTTTGTACAACAAAATAAAATGAAACTCGGTGAGAGCAATCGACACTGGGATCTCAGATACCACTGTTGTAGGGTCTGTTTCTGACGGAGAAGCTGGATATCTATAATATGAAAAGAAGCAATATGTATGATTACCAGTTACGCAATAAACGAGTGAGCTAGAATACAAGTATACGCTATATATTACATACGGTAACAAATGTGCAGAATCTATTACACTATCCCCAACATCTTGAGATCCAAAAACGAGATTTCCGTGATATATTCCAGGACCTACGTGAATAAAAGATACAACGCTCTAGATAACTCTGCATGAGACTGGATTTATCGTACTCGTAAATACTCACCTGTGAGCCATGCGAACGTCTTTGGAGTTCCTTGGTATTGAATATCCTGATATGGTGTAAAAAAATGAAGTTCACTGTACGGTAGATCACCGGGTAACTCCTGAAATCCTATATAATTGCAAATCTCGTTATAATTTTAATAAGAGTAAATATACTCATGTTTCTTTACTCTTGTCTTTTTACCTGGATTGGTTTCATACTTGGCAAACAGGTTTTCGAACATTGACGCTCCGTCGTAATCAGCCTGGGGCTGTGCCATCCCAATAAATTGATATATTCTCGTTGGCGTCGTTGCAACGATAAAGTATTTGCGTGGTGTTACTATAAACGGTTCGAATCTGAGACCAGTAATCGGGAGGTTTTCTTGTATTGAATAGACCTATGAGATGAATAATGAGAAGAAAGCAATTGCCGTCAGTATAAAATTAAACATACGATGCGTAACGTTTTGTGCTCCTTGAAAATGTAGAACCTGTTTGCAGAACTTCTCTTCTCGTTTAAAATACTCATCGGTAGGCTCAATTTCGGCCTCAAAAATCAACCCATTCCTTGTACCAATCAGTATCTTTTTAGTAGATGAATCTGATGATGTTCCGGCTGCCTTATTCCACGCTACAGATTCAATTACGATTCCCTATAAGTAAAATAGATAAAATTCTCAGTCTTAACATCCAACAAAGAATCTCAAGTGACATTAAACCCTCAGTTTGATTAATAAATTAACCTTGAATTTTGATAAGGGCTTTGCTTTTTTCCATTTTTCAAATAAATAGAAATTTTCTCCTTGTTCAGTTGTAATTAATAAATGCCTTCCAGTTGGATCAAAGAATGTTTTATATATCTTCACTTCGGATTGCTTCCTTGGAATTTCAATATCTGTTATTAAATGAATCTATTAGTAACAGCTTTGTGAGACAACAGGTAAAAACAGTAGACAGTCGATTGTTAAATAAACGTCTGGGCAAATTCTAAAATGCATGTTAACAATACACCAGCTAAATACTATATGAATAGAATCGAGACGTAAAAACAATAAATAACAATAATGACAAAGTTTACCACAGAGCTTTACAGCTCATCTTTATAAAGCCCACAATTATGTCATAATTATTACTACTTCTACACATACCACCTAACGACGATTGTACTTATGATTGAACCCAACATTATCTCCACATGTTCGCAACCTCACCTTCAACTTCATGCGCCTGCTGCAAGTCGATCCTCAGGATATGATTCGTTTCCAATGCCATTATCAAAATCTCGTTCGAAACAGCCATCGTCCGTAATTGGGCTGGAAATTGGAACTGAACTCTGTCTAATGCAAAGACGCGTGAATCGTCTTCGGCCAAACCCATACTAACAAAGCCAGTTTCAAGCTGTAATACAAGTTGACAAATCAATGGCAAATTGCTCAGCAAAGCTGGTTCGCCGAATTTGCTGATATTCATTATTGTAAGAAGATAAAACTTGCATACCATAACTGGATCAGACGGTTCAAAGCCAACAGAGTCTACGAAAAACGAGCTGCTGCTGTATGACGGCATAGGATCGTTCGATTGTTCAATGAAATCATCGATTATTGACATTTTCTCACTTAGTGAATTTCAGTTCGTAATTAATGTATTTTAGATATAGAAAGTTTACAAACAAATAAATAGTCAAAGAATGAAATAGTCTCAAGGTGCTTTTTTGTGTAATGTGCGATTCGATTGTCGGGAAAGCAGCGATTATCAAAACGGGTAATTATCACGTGATACAGCACACAAAGTCGCGAAAGTATCAACTCACGTGTCCACTTCGCTCATTCCTACATCCTCCCGTCCCAAGTCGTGTGTCTACTCGCTCTTTTCTATCATTATCCAGTCCGTATCCACCTCGTTCATTCGTTTCTATCGCGCAGCATTATGAAGGGCAAGAAGAGCATATCCCCACTATCACCTACTCTTGTAAAATATCTCCACCCTAGAGTAGGACCAAAAATGGCAGAAGGGATGACTCCGGAGGAGGCTTGGCGGGATGTAATCAAAGATGTAGCTGTGGCCTCCCTCTCAAATAAACCATTAGACATTTTTGCCGCTGCAATATGTCGACTAGCAGAGCTAGACGACAGTGGACGCCTTCAGATTATTGATCGATGTCTCACTATATGCCCCGTACCTGAAGCGCCTTCGATCGATAAAGCTGCTCAAATAGAGGAACTGCTATTAGAAATGCTCGTACCAGAGAACACTTCAGAATTGAGGGGAACAACTTCGGTGGAGATAGATTCGGAATTTCTTAAGGTCATGACGAATGTTCTCGAACACTCACATAAGGATTGGAGCAGTTCACGCGAATTCCTTCAGAGGTTCTTTAATGATTGTAAGACTAAATATATTCCAGACCTGGAAATCTTTTATTTGTTTCCGAAAATGCCAGAAATGGCACGTAATTTGATAATAGAACCAGCTGAGGCCAAGAATTTGGAACGTTTATTTGCCTGTTTACAGGAAGCATGCGCTGTGAAGGGCCTACGACTCCGAGAACTAATCAAGACAAAAATATCCGGTCGTGACTACGAATGGTTTGATAAACAAGCTAGTGCGATATTTCCAAAAGGTATTCCTTCCGATCCTGAACCCAACAAAGACTATATTCCTCCCACGAAAATCGACACCTCTTTACCGTTTACCAAAGAGCGTCATGGCCAATTGATGCGTTCCGGTCGATTGAAGACGCAGCAACAACTCTTGCGGCCTCGTTGGCATAATCAACAACACATATTACTTCTGGCTCTGCGCAGACATCCGCAACATATGATGACAAGAAATGAACTTATCGATGCTGCTTTACAGTTGGATGAGAAATGGAGCAGAGAGACTGGTTTGCCAAAATGTTTTACTGGCTTGGTGAGTTGGAATTAGCAGTCGATCTATTGATTGCAGTTTCATTTGGAAATTATTTGACTATGACTGCTCATTGTATATTCCTTATATAATAAAATAAGACCCCGCGCAATTCAGCAAGTGCCTGTTTGACAACAAACGCTGACAAATATTTTGCAGCTATTAAAGTGGATAATGTAACGACCTATTACAAGCTATCGTTCAAACCAAACGACCTTGACGATGCAATCGCTCGTTACAAGAAATGGGTGAAGCAACTTCAAGAACATGATTGGCCGTTGTGTTTCGGTAGAATTCTCAAGAGCAAGAAAGGTATTGCTTAAGATTATTTGTTTATGCTCTAATGTACTTGAGATCTTAAGCATTGCTTACTTAATAATAGGTCAAGATCTTGTAAAACACCAACGCATTATAATGCTAAGTGTCGGTGCGAGCAATCCTGCTCATTTACGATGCAGATACTGTGGACCTGAAAAAGATGGCTGTAGTAAGGAGTTACCAGCATGCGCACGGTGCAGAGCCAAAGGACAATTATGTATTTATCCATTACGTCCGGATGTACACAAAGAGACAGAGCGACAAAAGCAAAAATCAGAACTAAATAGTTTCTTGTCCAAAAAATCACAGAGTGACGGGAGATCGGTGAATTTAAGGGCAAAAAAAGTTTCTGAAGAAAAGAAGGTCAGGAAGAATGGTAATGGATCATCATACGAAATCGAGTTGCTTGAAAATATACAAGAAGGGATGGATTTGTCAAACGTGCCAAAAAAATTATGTGACGTGGTTGACGTTAGACCCTCAAGCATCCCAAATGCTGGTAATGGGCTCTTTGCAAAACGGAACATTCCCATGGGAACGCCTCTCGGATTCTACTTTGGCGTCCCAATGATGGAGGATGAATTTGATCAGTACAAAGATAAAGTAGGAAAAGCATCCCACTATTCAATGAGATATCGTCATACGATTCTAGATGCCACCAACGATGCCGGTGAGCCGTTCACAGATCCAAATGGGAAAATACATTGTCCCTTTCATTTTATGAACGAAGATCCCTTTGGTAACATGGTATTTCTGGAAGGATACGAGGTGAACCAAGTCATCTGTCTAACGAAAAGAGACATTAGGAAAGGAGAAGAACTATTTGTTTATTACGGCCATGAGGTTGATAGAGCGCATTGGGGCCAACAGAGCGACAGTGAAGAGGAGTCAGAAGATGAAGAATCTGAAAGCGAAGAAGAAGATGAAGATGAGGAAGATGACAGTGGTGAAGATCTAGGGCGACGTAGTGGTAGACGCGGAAAGAACGGTAATAGCGAGCATAGAGAACGAATATGGCTTCGTGGGACAAAAAGGAAAAGGGGAAATAATGGCGAGTCACGAGAGTTGAGTAATAAAGCAAAGAAAGGAGTAAAACGACATAGACTTTCTACGATAACACCGGTTAGTGATGAGTATGAAACAGATATAGAAGTTGGGTTAGGCCCTAGTCGTCGTGACGACGATAACGAGATGGAAGTAGGTGAGGAAGATGAAGAAAAAAATGAAGCAAAATATGAAGAAGAGGGAAGTCAAAGAAGAGCAAGGGAAATATTAGATACCGAAGATGAGGAAGGAGAGGATGAAGAAAATAAAGAAGAGGAAGACGAAGAGAAAGATGAAAGATTAAACAAATCGGAGGACATTGTAAATGACGATTATGTAGAAGTAAAAATAGAAGCGTCGGATTAGAATCATTTAGAATATGCTTCAACTATATAGTTGTTTCTTTAATGAGTTGTGCATGATTCTATGTAGTTGTATTTAACCACCGCGCAAAGCCTGAATGCTAGATTTTATATTCATCTCATCGTAATCGACCACCTTGTGTTTACTCATCAATGAGAAATAATTTTATCCAATGTATTTATATGGAATTTAATTAGCAGTTTATCTTTTAAAATAAGATGCACATGGTCTTTGAAATTCCATGGTTGCTCACGTAGCGCTATGGACAATAAGTGTCATGTGGTAACAATACGCCGTGTCGGTGGTATTGGATCATAATAGACAAATTTCACTTGTTCGAGCATTTCCATTATACTTTCGTTTTTAGCAACGTACGCCCACGCGATACAATAATGCGCGGACAGCAAACGCCATTCCTCAACTTCATCGAGTAGCTCCAACCTTGATATTCTATAAATATCAAACATGAGGTCCATTAAATGATTATATACGTTGTAAAACACGCGATGGTTGCATACCTTTCCAATTCACGTGGATCAATATGCCTATCGTGCATTTTGTTAATATCTATAGCTTCAGCATGCGTCCAACCTCTCTTCAAGAATCTTTCTTTTTGACTCTCCAAACTCGGATACGCATAAATGCCTCGAAGTTCAATATTCCTCAGTTTCAAATTCTGCAACATTACTGACCCGAACGCATCATCAGGAAGGATTTGCTCGTATACAACAAACACCGCAGCACTCATATTCTCTCCAACCCATCGTACGATTTTATCGGAATCTCCCGACTCCATATAGATAAGTACGCATTCTGAAAGAAATATAGTTGGTAAACTGTGATAGGTGAGAGTTGGTGTTGACTGTTGATGATTAAGCGAATGATGATATTGGTAGGTGATAACGAGAATGAGAAGGAAGGATAAAAATAAAATATTCATAAGACTGGGCGTTAACGGACCTTGTATCAAAGCCGTGCTGGATTAGCCGGTCGACTACATGGGTGGTAAATTCTCTTAGATCGCCAGCAATCAAGCAATAATCGTCTGCGTAAAGTTCCATACCACCCATACCTAGAACGTATAACTGTAAGCATTGATTCAATAATTCCTCAACTGCAAAAATACTAACAAGAAAAAAGAAAAAAGACTAACCAAGTCGTGCTGATTCACCCAATAATGTATACATCTGCTTGTGTCTACGAATAATGGCTACCTTCCTACTCGTAATCTCAGGATAGTCGATTTCAAAGTATTTATGAAATGGTCGAGATCTCTCCTGAACCAAGTAATTTGTCAGCCCATGTTTTAAAATTGCCAAATACTGATTCCCTTACGATGAGCCAATAAATCACAATCAAACCTTGTATGAAAAATATCGCGTATCCGACCCGGCGCCAAATGATACAATTTGTTTCTTGGCTTTCACGGTCTCCAGGAACTTTGTTATCAATATGTCCAGTCCGGTAGTGCGTACATAGGTTCCTAAACAAAAGAGAGTATAAAATGAGTGATCGATGGCAATAAACGGCATTTAAAAGTCCTTCTCGAACCTCTGTTGATTATAGGGGGACGCCGAGGCGGTCGTTTGACAAAGTATTTCACAAAGTTATCAGAAATATAAGCTGCCTGTACAGCCGACCTTGAAATAATAAAAAATATATATATCTAATAAGCATTGCGTCGCATTGTGCTTGCAGCGTTTGGCAAAAAACTCACGCTTTGCTGATGACTGCATCATCATTAGTACCACGAACTGCCGCTTCATGTACTGAATCCATGGGCAATGAGGAAATATTAATATGAAAATAGAATTTTATTTTTAAATTTATAGTTATTCACGTGGTATGACATCAATTTTCTGATTGAAAATCAAAAAAGATTGCATCGTAACCATTTTTAACATCACTCGACCATTTGTTTCGCTTCTGTTTCCTCAAAGCTATGTCCGCGCAAGGCAAAAAAGCTTTTAACACATTAGGAGGAATGCTACCGAGAGGGGGTGGCAGCCCTAGAGGATTGTTCGCTGGTGTTGGGGCGATAGCTACGTTGGGTGCTCTTGGTCTTGGATTTAATGCGAGTTTATTTAACGGTACGAGTTTTATAAAAAGGCAATAATTAAAGTCAATAGATGAAGCCACATTTGATAGAGCTTTTGTATGGGGCGAGTAATAGTTACGCGTTTCCAAGCGAAAGAATTACATCCTTCATGGATCAAAATTATTTATTATATGAGTTTGCCTCCTTAGTTGATGGTGGTCATCGCGCAATTAAGTACACTCGTCTGTTTGGAATCCAAAAGTATATTTACCCGGAAGGCACTCACTTCATGGTTCCATGGTTTGAGACACCTATCATTTACGATGTGCGAGCAAAGCCTCGTAACATTGCATCTTTAACAGGGACAAAAGGTAACCGGGACACGTAAAATTATAATCTTATGACTCTTGTTCTAATCGGATTTCCCCTTTTTTTCCAACTCCGTGTAGATTTGCAGATGGTTAATATTACATGTCGTGTGCTTTCAAAACCAAAAATTGACTCTCTTCCAACTATTTATCGGACTCTGGGGACTGATTATGATGAGAGAGTGTTACCATCGATTGTGAATGAAGTCTTGAAATCTGTCGTTGCCCAGTTTAACGCATCCCAATTAATTACAATGCGTGAAAAGGTAACGAAATGTTTTATGGACAAACACTTTATTTATCATAAATCTCATCATGTGTCAATTATTACGATTAACATAGGTCTCACGACTGGTCCGCGAGAATTTGACTCGTCGCGCACTACGATTTAATATTATTCTAGACGATGTATCCATAACACATGTAGCATTCTCGCCAGAATTTACGCATGCAGTGGAGGCAAAGCAAATCGCACAACAGGAAGCTCAGCGGGCATTCTTCGTTGTAGAACGTGCTAAACAAGAGAAACAATCAATCATAATTAGGGCTGAGGGTGAAGCCAAATCAGCAGAATTAATCGGTGAAGCTATTAAGAATAAGCCAGGTTTTATTGAGCTGAGAAAGATAGAGACGGCACGCGAGATTGCATCAATATTGTCACGCTCTCAGAATCGTGTACTACTTGACTCTGAGACTCTATTGTTGAACTTGGCTGACAATAAGTAATATTTAGACGACAATAGTGTTTTATCTGGGAATGTTTCTCTATGTTCATAAATATATCTCTTTGTAGGGATCAAAAGAAGGAGAAGAAGGAGAAAAAGAAAAAGTGATTGTTTGATGTAACTATACATGAGTGTTGAATAATAAGAGACACTTTCCTGAGCTATTTCGGCCTCAGGAGCAACACATCAATTTAACTCGATTATGATTCACTCACTGTCGTATAATATATCGATATTCTTTCTCTATCCGCTATTGTTAATGCTCGCCGCAACAAAGCGTCCATTCTATAAATGCACCCTTCTTTGCATGGTAAATCCTTCCTGTCTGATTTAAAACTACGGCGTCCCGCTTATTAGCTCTAACATTCTGTAAGCAAGAATAGAACTGTTATTAGAACAGCAACTACACATAATCGAAGTGTGCTACAAATTGAATTGACCTCGCTATTGATTGTCTAACTAATATATACACACTATGCACTTTAAACTTGTCAAGGATGTTCTGTGCAATGACATAACGCATAGTTCTCGTGCCATGCAACCAGTGTCTTTGTTACAGTGTGTTTCGAATAATTGTGCTGATAAAAAAAAAGGTAAATTTCTCTACAATTGCAAGAGATAATTAAATGAAAATAGATGCATTAGATTGCTTATCAAATTCTTTATTACATATAAAAATTTCAGTATGGAATTCTATCCCCGTTTTTTTTCAAGAACCATCTGACATCTCGTTTTCATTGACTTGATTAAATTAACCGTTTGTTCAGGAATTGTTTCCCATTCCTCGACTAAAAACTGCTTTAATTCATCTACCATGGATTTTTGATGGTCTATGACATTAATCCCATTCTCGACAATAAATCATTACAACTCTGGATGTGTGCTTAGGATCGTTGTCTTGTTGTAAACGCCAATTGCTTTGATACATGGACTGGGCAGCAGGCAGCAATTGCGACTTCAATATATGGACGTAAAAAGGCCATCCATGATGTTGGTAAAGTGTTCGGTCTGCACCAATTGTCACGCATATTAATATGTGCTTGTGCCCATAATTTCCGTGTCTCGATGTATTGTTCCGTTAGCATCGGTGTTCCGCGAGGCACAGAACTTTGATGTCCCTTTTTTTTCATATGCCGCCGAACTGCAGAATATGAAATCGAGATATCTTGAGTTTCTTGAACTTTTATAGCTATTTGTCGTGTTGAAATGGCTGTATTTTGGCGCACATATCCTATAGCAACTGCCACACTTTGTGTACCCTTTGTTGGTCTGCCATTTCCGCGCCTGTGCGCTACAGTACCATGTTCTCTGAGTTTTTTGAGATTCCACTGAACAACAGTACGAAGGGAAATCTGTGGTTTTTGATGAATTTCTTTCGCATCACATGTACCGTTGAGCCAGTGGGCTTGATGCTGTGCTTCAAGCTTCTTATTGACCCGGTTTAGGGTGTTTGATCAAGGTGGCGAAAGGCTTTTATATCATAAAAACCCTAAACATGTATTCCATAATAAGCAGTTACTGATAGTCAAGACGCGTTTATGATCGATTATCGATTTTTCGATGTTATTCCAGAAAATTCTTTCGTTTACCGGCGCAATTTTTTTCGAAGCACAGTGTAACGACCAATTGTTCTAGTAAGCGCATGAATATTGCCGATGGCACGGATAGATTAACTTTCGATAAATTGTTATTTAAGAATATTTTAGAAATAATTGGGACAGCGATGTGCTTAACCATTAACAAAGAAAGAGGCAGCTAAATCTGATAAGTTTTTAAGTGTATAATAAATAACAAGTCCATTCACAGTCGACTCTCCCTTGGGACTGACACATATTCCAAATGGATGATGAGTTATGGATGATGTCTATCTCTTTAAACAAATAAACAAACTCATAACTAAATTCCATTATAGAGAAGACGTTTCGAATATAGCGACGATTAGCAATGTCATGACAATTTTTCCATGTGCTGGTGCATGCATGGATGAAATGGTTGACAGGCATATCGTCAACAATAGTTATGGAAAATAACTGACGCCGTCGTGTTTCTCCACTTTTTTTGTAGATTAGAATAAGGACATCTTAACACGTTGTCTTCTTGAGCAATTGTCTCAAACCCATTTAATACCTTGCAAATTGCCACCTGTTTAATCTCTTCGTTCATGCTGACAATATCACCTTATAAACAATACAATTATAAAATTCTATCTTTTTTGTTGATCAGCACTGCATCCATAAGCAGATTCCGAATTTAAAACACGTAGTTAGCGCGATTTTTTCAGCGCCGCCCGAATATATAATCGGTGAATACCAAACTAATGTGAGGGCTGCTGAAATTTCATCCGAATTCTTCCAAAACGGTTGCATTGCTTAACTGCAAAAACAGCCGTCGTACCTGAAAGTTCGTAGTTTGATTATGCTGTGCTTATGCGCAAATCCAGACCTCTCTAATTTAATAAATAGCGGTCCCATTTTTGGGACTCATGGATAATTTAATAATTTTCTCTCTTATTTAATTTTTTCTTTGAAATCAATATATACGTTAATACTGGTGCCACACCGTTTTCTTTAAGGCGTTTCGTAGGGTTCCAGTAGCTATAGATAACAATCTCTACGTGACAGACGCATTCGTTTTCAATAACAAATAAGTTTATTCACAGTCACAATAAAAATTAAGGGGAAGTAGATAAGGGATACAAGACTATGGTGGCTATTACACGTTAGTAGACTTCTGATACATACAAGCTTTACATTGCAGACTGACCACAGAACAAGCTGAAGTGAAGGCAATACAACCCTCATATATAATCTGAAAGACATGTCATTGAGTTTTTAAAGATGGTGAGCGTGCTGAAACTCAATTTCCATCTGTACATGGGAAAATAACCATGGTTAGAAAGAATGGAAATTTCTAGTTCGTCATAAAAATTAGGAACGGCATTGAAAATTTTCTCTGAACACGCCATACGACAAACCCTCATAACTTGCAAAATTTCATGTCCGCAGTAAATGCATATTAATATGCATTTATAAATTCCTATCTCCATACATTTCTAAGCAATTGTCAGCGACCTGTATAAATTCCACTTATCCATTTGCATGATCTTTTTTTTTCTTTTGTTTGTTCAAACAATCTTTAGGAACTGCATATGTTGCAACGCATCTAAAGCTCGAAATAAATTATCCAACTTGTATTAGAGGGTATCAAGAAAAACTAACCCGTAAGACAGATGATTCAGAACGAAAGTTTCAGTTTAGATTTTTTAATCAACTAAAAAATTCTAGAGTTTTAGGGATTTGAAAAGTAATAGTTTTATTGGGTTTCTTAAGTTTCCTTAATATTAAGAAAAACAGAAATTTCACTATGCCCCGACCAACTAAAAAAAACCGCACATAAAAAAGTGTCTCGAGATGAAAGGGCAAATTTATTAGAGATAAACTCAATTTTATCAATACAGAAGCAAGCACACCGGCATTGTCGAAACGATCGAAAATTCAGGTCACGTTTGTATTCTTTCACTGCGAATTGAACGTTATTGGGGAGCAGCCAAACGATACGAAAAACTTGGCGATATATGGGTTTGTACAGACATGGAATCACAGGCAAATCAGCAGAATATGCTCTAAAAAATACCGTATTTCACCGACACGAGTACCCCGGGTATTCCCCTTGTTTGTTTTAGTACCCGGGGTACTCGTGTGGGGGGGGGTACATCGTACGGATGGGGGGTACATATCTCGATTTGTTTCTTTAAACTCCTATTGGTTGATGAATCATAAGTATATCGATATTATAATTAAACGCGCCTTATTATTATTAGATACTACTACTAATACTGTATAGTATATAAAGAACTTAATTAAAATTCAGATTATTTATCTATTCATCAATTAACACCTGCTGGGCGTATAAGAAAACCATCCTATGGTACTCTTGCTCAATGGGTAAGAGATTCATGGGAAGAAGTTGATATTCATTTGATTGTAAAAGCGTTTAAGTGTTGTGGGGTTTCGGTCGAAATGGACGGGACGGAGGATGATGTAGTGTTTGATTATGAATTGTTAGATGAGAATAAAAATGATGGAAATTCTGAAGTAATGAATTTCACTAGTATTGACGGTGAAGAATATGAAGAAGTCGGAGGCAGTAATTATAATGTTTGGGAATAAATATTAATTAATAAATTTTACTGATCTTAAATTTTAATTGGCTGTTAGAAGGAGGGTACAAATCACGGGGGGGTATATATGCCGGAGGGACACCGTAACTAATACCCGGGTATAAATCAAAATTTGGCCTTCAAAACTGCCGCAGGGTATAGCTCACCGGGGGGGGGGGGTACTCGTGTCGGTGAAATACGGTATATATCGCACAGAGGAATCCCCGAAGATGCATGGAATGAATTACGAACAAATTAATTCGTCAACTTTCTTAAACCGGAGATTCAAAATAAGCATGTGCTGTTCAATCTGCAACATTAATATTAATGTCGAGTTTTATTTTTCAACACCTCATTGGATTTTTATTGTCTACACCTACGATTGAACGCTAAAGGTGTACCTTCGACAAAAAAGCATAAAAAGACATATTAATATGTACATTAAATAAGTAACTTATACTTATCTATATAATTATAAAAATACATATGGTCACACTACTCTTATTCTATCTATGATTATTAACATAAACCTGGGCGGCGCAGAATGGAAATGAAAACCTATACTGCTACTTTATGCTAACTAAGATAGCCGTGCTTGGGACTTCCAAATGAGGTTGGAAATGCGGATGCTTCACAACTCGCTCTGCATAGAAGCCTCCGTAGTCGCCTTTTCTTGTTGGGCAGGTGAAAGCTGAGTGGCCGGTCTCCCAGCAGCTAACACACAGGCTTAAATCCTCATTGGTCTTTAGGCCGCAAAATCTCAGTCACGTGATTTTTATTTATTATTATGGCAATGGTCATACCGCAATTCCGAATCACCGCAAGAATTGCATAGAAGACTGGAGAAATGAATTTTTGAAAATCATGTTTAAATCGGTTTTTTTTCCCAATCGTTTTAGTGTTAGTGCACCATGAAAAACAGACTTACCAACTTTTTTCACTTGTTCCTCAGAACCTCAAGCTTCCAACGTTCTTCAAGGCTAGGCATTGAGAACCCAATTTTATTTCCTGACGTTTAATGTAACGTATAAATTTGTCATGAATAAACGACTTGCTCGGTACCTTTTTAAAGCAAAGAAAAACAGAATCTTAATTACGTGGTTGACAGAAGGCTTGGTCACGAAGCAAAACGGTTTATGATTTTTCTGTTGTAATATTTAAAAAAGGTGTTGATGTAATCGGCACAGCCATTACTATTACTGTTAATGCTGTATCACAAAAGTGGCGATCGTAGCCCGTATGAGATGGTAATCACGGGACATATTACGAGTTTAATCTCATAATTGAACAATCTTTAATCTGTTTATTATTATTATTATTATTTAGAGACTAATTTTTGGGATCAAGGCTTATGAACCAAAGTACTACAAAACGACTTCAAGGACAGCAATCAAAGAGTATTCGTCGTCATACTCAATCAACGCGTGTACCAGACGACCGCGATAACGATTCCTACTCTTCAACGGAAGAAGCAGATTCTGTTATTGCCAGCCGTCTATTCGGTGAGGCCACTGTTAATTCAAGAAAGTCACGGACTGTAAACGACAACATTGGCAATGAAGACGACAGAAGCAATGAGAGTCCTCGTTATAGAACAGGCACAGGGACAGATTACAAACTGTCCGAGAGGGTAGTCTCGTCACCAGCGCCCTCACGACGTCCAGTATGGAGAGCTTCGACGTCTTCCAAACAAGACGATGCGTCTAGCGATTATTCTTTTGATTTGTCTGCATTATCACCGCAAACACAAAATATCATTAATTCGATAACGCCTAGTCGTGGTAATACTCCGAATAGTTCGAGAGATCACAAAAAACGGTTTGCTGCAGACCGAGCCATGGTCGATGAAATACTGCGAGAAGCTAGAGCTCAGGCTGCCGCACGTGCAAGCACCAATGCTTCATTGCCAATGGATTCAACTAATAATGATCTCACTAACGGCAGTAGTCAATTAACTGATGATGCTGATGGATGGAGCGTGGATGACGATGATGACAATAATGATGTCAATGGCGTTGATAAATTGCGTGGATCATCCTCAATAAAGCCCAAAGCAGGGATTACCATTGATACAACTGCATCGCGTCTTAAAAAGGAACAGAGATATATTGCGAGGTCTCCTACTTCACCACGTTCGACTCGAAAGCGAGCTGTCCTACGTAGAACAAATGCAAAGTTGTTTCCAGTCCATTCATCTCCACAGTCGTCTAGTAGTGCTAAACATGCAATGGACCCCCCAGAAGTTAATGGCAAAACACCTTCAAGTAATATCGAGACTGTCGAAACTGGTGAACTTGACGAAATTGAGGCACAGTTCCAAGAAACTTTAACTACGTACACAAAAAGATTTCAGAATTCTACTGTAGCGTTGCAAGAACAGTCTAATCTTATGAGAAGAAATCAGGATTTATTGCATCTCGTTGCTGCAAAGGAGGAAGAAATTGAAAATTTAAAGAATAAATTATTTGAGTCTACCAAGAAGCTAGACTCTTACGAGGTTGATTTAAAGGATGCCATTGCATTTCAGCTTGAACCTCTTGCTTTATCAGCAGAGGATTTGATTCGAATAGAGAGAGAACTTGAGAATCAAGATGTTGCAATACGCAATTACCGAGCTGAGAATGACAAACTTAATGTACAAATAAAAGAATTGAAGAACCAACTATCAAATGTTGATAAAGAAAACGAAAAGTACTCTGCAAAAACGTCGGAATTAATGCGAGAACTAGACCATTTGAGAGCAATAATATTATATGACAAGGAGAACAAAGACCATTTTTCAGAGGGAGTCCTACAACAGATGGAAGAAATGAATAAGGAAATAAGCAGACTGAAACAGATAGAGAAAGAATATGAGAAAGAGAAGGCCAAAGAGCAAGCGAAAGAGCAAGATAATGAGCAAGATAATGAGCAAGATAAAGAGCAGGGCAATGAGGAGGAGAAAGAACACGAGAAAGAACATGAGAAAGAACAGGAAAGAGAGCAGCAGAGAGAGCAAGAGAAAGAAAAAGAGATACTGATATCACCTATGATGCCAATGTTACCACCGACGGGTATAATGCACGAGTTAGAAACTAAGCAAAATATAATTGAGGAGCTAGTTGAGAAATTAAAAAGAAAGGAAGAACAGTTAGAATATTATCAAAATCAATACCTTGCCAAGACCGAAGAATTAGAACAATATATAGAGCAGGGGGGTGTACCATCTAATGCGACGCAGAATGGAGGTGGTGGAAGTGATGGACATATTACGAAAACTCCCAATGCCGTTGGAGGGAAGGCTGGTGGAAGTACTGGTGTTGGAGGCGGTGTTAACGGTGCTAAGGCTATTAAATACCTCAATGACAATATACAATTAGATGATGAGATTGAAGATTTATCATCTCTTCCAATTACGAGTGATTTATTGGCGTCTGGTATATTTGATGCATTGGGTGGTGATGGTGCGTTTACAGCTATTGAGAGACTCATAGCATCCCTTGAGAGAACTATAATGGAAAGAGACGTGCAATTGAGCACTGCTCATCAGCGTGCAGAGGAAGCAGAAAGAAAATTAGTAAATTTATCGCGGGAGAAGATGTCATGGGGAAGTGGATTTGACGGACGAATAAAAAATCTGAAGAACAAAATACAGCAGATGGAAGAACTAATACAGATGGAAAGGAAAGCTGCGCGTAAATCATTAAGTAGTCAAGCAAGTCAAGCGGACAATGACCGCACGAGAGAGAGTATTGCCCATTCCGATAGCAAACAACAAGAATTGAGTAACCAATCGCTGCTTCAGCAACTGGAATTGATGTCACGGCAGATAACGACCATGGGAGAAAAGTTCAAGAAAAGAGAACAAGACTTGCAGAAAATGATATCTGATATGGACAAACGTTCGAAGGTGCAACTCGAAATGGTCAAGAAGAGGTGTCTGACCATAATTGGGAAGAAAAACGATAAATTGGAGATCATTAAGAGCGAATTAGATAGTTTAATGGAGGCTGCTGGACCAGTAGGAAATATTAAAGGTGATTAGTGTAAGTATTAAATGTGAACGTATTATATATTTCTCACGACTAATGAATAAATCACTCGGATATAATTTTGAGATATAAAAGAAATATATTGTATATATATATATGTGTGTGTGTGTGTGTGTGTGTGTTTGTGTGTGTGTGTCATCTAGATACAACCTTTATATACATAATCACTTTATTTGGACCTATTCTATAGTCTTAACGGTTCCCTCATCAGAACTTTTAATAGCAACTTTACTATTCTTCAACCTAGTAATCCCTTTATCCACATTCTCGATATGCAACTCTAAAGGTAAGTCAACCAACGACGGTTTCAGCACTTGCTCTCGCAGTTCTTCTAAATCCGTTTGAAATGACGTGAGACTGTACAATGTCATCTGTACTTGAACTACTGCATTTCGCCGTTGGCTGTCAAGTTGAGAGAGAAGGTCGAGATTTTCTTTGAACATGTGCTTTTGAATACGATTGCCGCCGAGGGCAGACCAGAGTTCGGCGAGAAGCTTTTCACGCTCGGTCGTTTGGAAGGCTTTTTCCTGGGTGACTAGTTCGTGAATTGCTACTAGCATTTCGTCAAGGGTTGCTAGACTGCATACGAGGGAGGGAGGGAAGGAAGGAAGGAAGGAAGGAAGGAAGGAAGGAAGGAAGGAAGGATGGATGGAAGAAAGAAAGAAAGAAAGAAAGAAAGAAAGAAAGAAAGAAAGAAAGAAAGAAAGAAAGAAATATTAATGTAATTTATAATACGAGATTATAAATCATGGCGTTTTGAAGACAACCACACATAATAACATCAACATTGCAAACTTCATCTTTCCGTAAAACGATCTCGCTTACTCACCTCCCAAGAGTATCCTGTGCCTTTATAATCATCCTTTCCAAATCACCTTCCATCAGAGACATCATATTTTCATATGCGCTTGCCAGTTCTCTTCTCGTTGTTCTCCCGTCTCTCACATTTTCTAATGTCTTCAAAGCAAACATGTTGTACGTTATCAGATTATCCAAAGAACTTCTCGTTCGAGCCTGTAATACTTGTAGGTCTCTACCGATTGACTTTGATTTGTCCATAAACTCGCTCAGCCGATTTACCAACTCTGGTGCAGTAGATAGCGTAGAATACTTCACCAAAGTCCTTAAATCTCCGGTCGCCAATTCGGCTCGTTTTATGTCAAGTGCTAAGGAAGAGGTCACACCTTCCTTTGCAAGGGCTTGATCCATTATTTGTTCATAGGTTTCGACCTGACGATCAACTAGGCGGGTAAAGTCAGGAATATGAGCATTGCACAGCGGCAAAGCAGAGGCAAAGGGGAGCTTGCATACTGTAAGAGTGAATTGATCTTGGACGGCGTTTGATAGGAAGGTGAGAGAAAAATGTGAAATATAGACGGCAAGAAAGAGGGCAAGGAAGATGGATAGGATTGGTTTGAGCCATTGTAGAGCGCTAAAGACAATTTCTAGTTTTGGAATTCAAGAGAGAAAAGCGAGTTTATATATAAGCAAATTTCGGTATCAATTCATCAAATTTCACAGAGTTGGAACAGTTGATTTGCATTCTAAAAAACTGGCTGTTGGTAATCTCAAGACAGTATTTGTTGAATTTTCCTCTTTCCTCGTTTCTGTGCTCATTCTCCCCAACAAGTTTCTTATACATTGCTAAAAAGATCCGACTTTCCCAAGAAAACTTGAACAGTAGCGTTCACTATTCATTGAGCAAAATTATCCACTGGACATTATTAAACCCAACTAACCTATCAGAAGCCCTCCCAAAATTCGAAAGTTGTCAATGATAGCCAGGTTTTTTTCGTTATCTATCGTCTTCTTCGTAGCTGCAGGCTTGTTATTATCGTCATCGTTAGTTTCCATTTTGTCACTGGGACGTTATTCATTGTTAATTTGTGTTATATATGTATGGTATGCATAGTCACACAATAATAAATTTGTGATACAAGGGGTGGGACAATTCAATGAAGTCGAACTCTATAACCGTTTCTGAGAATAAGCTTTTTCTGCAATGAATAACAAAACAGAGGGGTCGACTAGCGTCAATAGTGAAGAACGAATAGTGTTGAATGTGGGAGGAATGAAGGTTAATAGCTGTCAAAACGCGGGATCGAGCATGCTGAATACCTGTCTAACATGGTTTAATACATTATATCTAATTCTATAGTAATCGACCTTTATTGTTTATATCAAGTACGAGACATACAGATCAACCCTCCTGTCACTTCCTACGTCACTCTTGGGTACAATGTTCTCATTGCGAAATTCAATGCTTCTTCATCCAACGAATAACAACGAATACTTTTTCGATCGTAATGGAAGAGCATTTCACTATATCATAGAATATTATCGTACTGGACGATTGCGTTATCCACCGCCAAAATACTCATTAGTATCTTGCGAAGAACTAGAGACAGAGCTCGACTTTTTCCAAATCCCCATTCCACAACATTTGGTTCTGACACCTAAAGATTCAAAGCCCAAAGATCCAGCAGCAGTCACAGTTAACAGTTTCATCAGTATGTTACAAGCAGTTGTTCGTGAGATTCGGGCAAATTTGGAGACCAAAGTTGAGGTTATTTTCCCATGGAGAGATAGAAGTAAGTTTAGTGTTGAACCAGATATTGCTGCTATTACTGATTTAATTCGTCCTTTTGATGTTACCGGATATAATGTGCTTGAGGCGTTTGGAAATCAGATTGGCAAGTATCTGAAGAAAACTGTGTCTGGGTTGATTTGGATATTGAACGAGCGTGATGCAAGTGCCAATTATCCACCAAGGTTTTATTTGATGATGAGTTTTAGCGTTGATAGTTTTGACTATCGGGCCATTGCAAAAGAGACTGTACTACGAGAATTAAGTGACTCGAGAGAAGTGTACAGTGTATAAGTGACGTTTTCACATGCACTTGAACATGACAAAATGTAATAATAAATTTTCTATAATAAACTATAATATTCACACTCGCCAATTCAGATGTCTCAATTGTAGTAAATGCTTTATGTCATATTTCATTTTGCAACAAATTTACATTAGTTCCATACCCCCGAACGAAAGCTGTCTGGTATATACAATGCGATTTTTTTTGGTGCGCTTAATGACAACGTGTGACAAAATTTAGCGCTAAAATCTATACATGATACGGTTAATTAAGTCTGATTAACGTACAGCTGATGCCGCAAGCGTGTCGAACATTTTGGCCTAAATGTGAGAAAACGTTGATTGATTATAACATTGTTTCATGCTATTGTTGCCAGTGCAAAAATCAAGACTCTTAACAAACCTTTGGTCGGATATCAATATCGCCATAGGATTTCTTCTGTTGTACATCAATCACATCTTTTGTCTTCAACACCAACAGCTCAAAGAACAGCTTTACAGCATCTTGTCTCTTAGCCTAAAGCAAACATGCCGGATATGTCGCCATCAGTCGAAATTCCATTGCTTAATACCAAAACACTGATTCTCTTACCTTTCCAGCAACGGTTTCATAACTGATGGGCGTCTTTTCCCTCAACCTTCGGCTTCCACCCTCATTTGATGTTCTCTCAAATTCCCGCTGTAATAATCGCATAGCTTTGATTGTGTTCTTGCTAAATGTCACCTCGCTGCCTGTCTGCTGGTCTTGTGAATCGTCTTGATCGAATATAGTTAGGCCTTGAGGAGAACCTAAGAATTTGGAAAGAAACAGGAAACGCGCATGAAGGAATTAGACGTGATGCAAAGAGTGAGCTATGTAGTGATGATGCACCACAGACAGTAAGTCTTTAAATGGTAGAAAGTACCTTCATCATCAGCCATATGTTCGGGTGATATATTCGAATTATCATTACCGGGAACTTGGGGTGGAGAATCTTTAAAAAAAGAAAGGTAATGAATTCAGAGACAGCAAGGATAGTAATGACTACTCGGCATAATATCAAGAACTCGGCTCAACAAACCCATATTATCGTCAAAAAAGTCTTGTGCATAGTCTGGAGACATCTACAAGATAATATCATACGTTATCTCAATTAACGTTTGTTGTTATAAATTCACAGACATTTGTCTTCTTAAAATTTCACTTACCAAATCATTACCAAGAGCTTGGTCTCGCTGTTGACCGCCTTCGACCTGTCCAGGTCCCTCCTCTACACTGGCTGTTGAAATACCATTTTCCGCAGGCGTTTCAACAACTGGAGTATCATTCTCGGTTTGAATACTATCGGTGGGGAGCATTGGTTCAGGGGGTTGGGTTCGTATGCGTTTCCGAGAGAATAGACGGTGCAGCTCGGGAAGAATGTTGGCCGGGGCTGTTAAATCGAAGAAATAAAATACTCCGAGATTGCGGATTTCGCTCAAGCGTAAAAGTTTACGGGATGATGGGAGAAATGAAGGCTATGAAGCAAAAGAGAAAATAATCAAGAGAAAGGGATGAATAATTTAATCTGTAACTAGGGATCGAGTTTGACATTGAATTTGACATGCACATAATTACCTTGGTTACAATATCAGAAGTATCTTTAACTTGTGCTGCTATATGCTTATTGGATAGTTCGGTAATCTCATCGAGGATCTTTCTCTTCCTTCGGTTTGAAGATGTGACAGGTTGCTGAGGCTCTGCTTCCGGAGATTGGAATTGAAATTCTGTTGTTGGTCAAGGTAAGTTGTAGATGTTAGGTTGATAAATGTATCGTTCGGAACATTTTACAAATCATTATACGCACGTTCTTCTTCATTATTACGCGGAGAAGCGTCAGGAGCGAACACTGGTGCTTCCGGATCATCCAGGTTTCTGTTTGTACAAATAGGATTTATTTTTTAGTCGGATACACGCGCGAGCCAATAACATCTGTTTTCGTCTATCGTATAATCAATCAAACCTTACTCCTCACCTGGCGCCATCTTCCAATCTCAAATGACGGAGTTCATCGCTCATTTGCAGTTCGTGATCGTAATCACCTATCAAGACGTTGACATCTACACCTTCTATATCCATTTCATTTCCCGATCTTTGCTCTGATAATTGCTGTTCAATATTTCCCTCTTGACCCTCTACTACTCCTCCTTCACCTTCTCTGTCCAATTCACTTAACCCACGATTAATCTCTCCATCAAGATTCAAATTGGTATCTTCTAATAAATTTTTATCGATGTCCATATCATGTAGACCGATGATATCTTCTATTGCCATCTCCGTCCCTTGTGCAGCATCTCGTCGAGCGACTTCGACGTCTATAGCGCGTGGTGAACCATGACTGCTACCCGATCCTTGAGCTATTCGAGGGTCGAGCTCGTCTTCGAAATTCAAAACCAAGTTTAGGCCACCGTCTTCGTCAAACGCATCACCGAGCAGGTCATCACCAACGGTGATATCGAGTGACATGTCGAATGAGTCGCGGATGGTAATGTCTTGTGGGCGGGAAGTATTAGATGGTTGGTGGGATGACACAAGAAGTGTCTGTGTCTGGTCATCCCATGCTCTATTTTTAAGGGAAAAAACCCAGTTCGTGGGAGAGATTCATTAAAAAGTTAGAGGACCCGAATTAGCAGGTAAAACACATTCGTCAATATATCGTTTTTGACAATTACGCGAGATTAAATCCGGGTTCGGGTAAAAGAATATCGTATTCCGTGATGTTATCCGGCAATGTGATGGCATGGAAATTGGCGACAGTTGACTCTTCAGGCATATCCACTACACCTGGTGTGAATGCCTTTTACAAAGTAAATACATAAACCAACGACTTAACAACATCATACACTCAAGAAAGCACGCTATTCACTGAATTTTCAAGTCATACCAGTTTGATCTTCACCAATGCCTCATTACAGTCTTCTAGTAAATATCTGGCTTTGCGTGAATATATACGGACCACCCCAAGTAGTAATTGGCCTGATAACCGTAAAGCCATTGGTGGTTGGTCACCGCCCAGGATTGCCCCTAAAGCGATAGATTTATGTCAAGTGAATAAATTCGAAAACGACAAGGCACCATATTGGTTGCGGCTAACGTAGCTGTTGAATGTTTGAAAGTGATCTGTAAAGAAAACGCGAAGCCAACTCACCAACAGAGTTCTGTATATTAGTTTGTAAGAATTGTGTTTTACTCAACTTGCGTTCCCAGTGTGCGGCTAGCCATACTTTGGCTAATGGGCCCTATTTTGTTTACTTGTTATATTAGTTTCGTCTGGTATCAACAAGATAAACCCGCACGCACGCCCAGCAAACGTGTATATTGACTGCTCGATTCTTGTCTTGTCTTGTCTGTTTCTATACCTTTTTAGATAATATAGCCTCCGAATAGAACATTACTTTTTTATTACTTGTTTAACTTTTATTGTTATAATTGGTATGGTGGTTTTTTTTTTTGAATTGTGAAGTTCTATGGAAAATACAGGAATATACCGAACACGAAGAGAATGACGCTAAAAATGAGCAGCACACTCTGCCTTTGTTCGGTAATGTGTGCTAATTGGGTATATTGATGACGTCATAATTAAATTGCCAATCATCAAGTAATTGTGATCATATCAGCGAGTGATGGGGATATGAATGTTCAGTATTATAAAACCGTCGATTATAGTGTTCTTTTTATTTCACTTCACAATAGTATAATCTCGCCGAGATTACATCCGCCGGCTTTCACCGAATCTTTCTACATTTACTTAATGACCTGCAGATTCGGGGGGCGGGGTGAAAAGAGTGTCAAGAGGAGGTGGTCGTTCTTCCAAACCGCCCAATAATTCGTTTTCTAAGATTGTCTCAACAGCAGCCGCTTCTGGTTCTGGCTCATCAACTTCATATGATGCCAATTGCGTTGAATAATCTCCGTCGATCACAGGAGGCTGAAAATTATAAACGTCAAGCAAGCAAGCAAGCAATAGATATTAAGACCAATTACTACTAACAAGATGCTGCTCATCATTCAATAATAAAGTTATCTGAACCTTTTGTGGCGATGGCATGTGCAATTCTTTCGCCGCACCAACTTCAGCTCCAATTTTCTGTATCAAGATATCATACTAGTTAGTCCCGTAATAAACTCCTCTCCCCTCCCAAAATGAAAAAAAGAAACGGTTTTGTCGTACCTCTAGCGAGGGTTTGTATTGTTTCATCTCCTTCAAATACAAGTCCAAAATCACATCTTACAAGGGATTATAGAATTGTTGGCGTAAGAGAGTGAACACTAAAATAAACACATTGGGAACTAAAGTCAATTAAACCTTTCATGAGCGGAGTCGAGGGAGCAGAGAACTTCCTAACAGCGACATTGGATAGCCGTGCATTAGAAGCTGTTTGAAATAGTGAATGCTATACAAATGTTGGGAGAATAACAAATGTTGTATCAAGTTATTGCTTGAGAGGTGAATGAGCAACAATCTTATCGTCTGGGTTCATTCAAGATTTTTTGAGGTGCATTCTTCAATTTACAGGTTTGTTTGCATATTCGCAGCCGCGCTAACATTTGACATACCGAAAGATTAGAGGAGCGAAGGAACAAACGAGATCCAGCCATCAATGCAAAGAATATTGTCGTAAGTGAATGTTTTGCTTCATCTCAAGAATGGACAAAAACCCGATGATTGGCTGATCGGTAAGTAATACTAGAAATTTTTGTTCAGCCTGTGTGATCACATGCCACATTCTCAACTCGACAAAGAATGGGGACAAGCTATGATCGCGCCGCGAAAATAGTGTTAGCATAGTATAAAAGAATGTGATTCAAGGAAGAAATCAGTCTTTACGTTAAATTAACGAAACATACAAAGATGAACTATATTACATTAACAAAGAAAGATTTTCAGGACTTCTGTCGTAAAAAGAACATATACACATCAATATGCAAAATGCAATAAATTTCTTTTTATAACAGACCAGTTCTAAGCCGTACTTGGTGTGCCTCACTTTCGAGGAAGTGTGCTCAATAAAGAATTTAAAGTAAACTGTTCTTTCCTTTATGCATGTAGGTAGAAGGGTGTTTCCATATGTTATCATTCGCTGGCTACCGTATAATTTGCGTGCCTCATTAAATTGTCTTTCAACAGTGAAGAGGCAAGCATTCAAGAAATGGTCATTCTCAATCTTTGAACAGAGCCCGGCAAGAATTAAAGTCAAAGCCATCAGTTTTTTCAAAGGCCACAAAACTTTGATTCCGCAAGTGTTTTGACGTACAATTCGGATTTATTATTATGGGTAGTTTCAGAATTGTTTAATACCATAAAGATATTGAGAGGACATAGACACAGAAATTTACTATCCAACAACGCGCAACTCGGATATTTTGATCCGAAAATTAAACCTGATCAACATATTTATCCGAATTCCGGGACGTCAATAAACATTCTAATAAAAAATCCCATTTTTGTCAATCAAGAATGGGGGAGATGCTAATAGAAAAAGCTCAGTCTATCATGAATTCACCGAACTAGATTGTCCCCCTTCTTCTTTACCATGGTATTAATGGCTGTTTCTGAATATGCCTTTTCTACGCTGAAGTTTATAGCGGTTGCCGTAGTTCTTTTCAATTACAAATCTTGGCCATTGGTTTATCATATTCGAAGTTTTTTTGCTTACAGAAAAGGGTTGAAGAGACTGCGCGAGAAACAAAAGAATTTAATTTACACTTCAGTACAGAGTCACAGACTATGGCCTGATGATGTAGGCGATTTCATAACGAATCTGCTTGGCCGCTTTTTGTTCAGAGATCTAACAGTTATTTCTCATAATCTAGATGGATATAAATTTTCACATGAACAACAGGTAAGAGAGAGTAGAGATCATCTGTTTGTCTTGACAACACAAATTCAAAGAGTACCTCTTCCGTTTAGTTCATATAATAAGCTTTTGGATTACGCCCGCTATGCTCATGTGGTTGGACAATGGGGTACTCCATTGATCAAGAAGGAATTATTTCTACACAACGCAGGTAATCACTTCACTCCTCTCTCGTATCTTCCGAGCGATCATTTGTCTATTGCTTTCCTATAATAATTAATCTGTTCATAGGTGTTCAAACATTCTTCAAGAAAGAGATCCCACCATTTGCGGAATTCCTAGTCGAGACACGTCTTCTCAACTGGGATGAAAAATGGGTGTTCCTCGTTCACCGCTTTGTTCTGAAAAGGACAAAAGTAACTTCTTGCATTTGTACTAGTAAATTAGTATTCAAACAACCGAATGGAAAGACTGTCCGGCCAGAGAAGGTATTCGAATTGTGTGGATACGTTTGTAATAGTGAACAAGAACGGCAGGCGAGAGACATGTTAAGAGATAAAGGAAGGAAGTATGCCGAGTCTATACTTCAAATGGACGGGTTATTCGAAGAGAGTGAGTTTTGGAACGAGGATTGATTGACTACTTAGAATTTTAATAATAATTAGTGATTAATTTTTTAAAACCGAGAAATGGCGTCTCTATACCACAAATATCCTGTTCATAATTGCAGGCTTTCCAATAAATAAAGGAAAGGGTCCTAATCAACATCTATTTCAAGAATTGCCATAAATCCACCTATGAGATGCAAACTTCCCGTGACTAAGACCTGCAAACTCGCGTCAGTTTTTTTGCTATATTCTGTTATCCAATTTATTGCATGTTCAATGGTCGGTAGAACGTGAGTATCGCAGGTATGTCCAGCGTTCTTTGGCTTTATTACCAACCCCTTCCATGTCTCAGCCAATGTATGTTGCAGGCTTAGTGTAGGATCATCCTCTACCGTGTTATGATGCAGGTCTAGTGATATAGGATTCGAACAGAATGAAATGACAGAATATGATTCAAGTATATGTTTAATCATAAACAGCTGAACAGCACTTACCAATCTTGTAATTATTTGTCAAAGACGGTATATTAGTGCAAAATACTGCATGATCAAATCTATTTTTCTGATGTATTAAACCGAGTTCTTCCAACAACGGTTGTCCAATACGGTCTTTGGTACAGCTGAATAGCAAAATTCTCTCCGTGGTAGACTCGCTATACAAGGCAAAGAATTAGCAGCAAATTTCGAGTCTTGCAAATTAGAAATTTCCATTAAATGTAGTATATAATTCTTACTTGGCTTCCGCATGTTGACTTGTAACATCACTGAACCATTTTGCGCATGCCTGAAAATTTTGCAGAGACCTAAGTTACGTGACTAAAATACACCCCATCTGATTCAACCTCCTACCTTAATACTTTCAGCAGTATGTGCTCCATCAAGGAACCAGGTAATCTTGGGATACCTTTGATCATTGACTATATGTCCACGACCAGGATAGTGGGCTGATTGCAAACCTTTCATAAATTCTCTCGGAGGATTTTGTTCCGAAATTCGAATATTATGGCATCTCTGGAGCCATACACGACACAATTCGATTGCAAGAGCAGCATTTGTAAGTTGATGGTCTCCTGGTAAACCTTGTATAGAAAGGTGTAGAAATATATTAACACGACTAGAATGACAAGTAATAATCCAAAAGTTGTACTAACCCAAAGTAGCGCCATGCAAGCTTTCTTTGGTCAGCGGTTGGACTTGTTTCAGAGGAGCCTTTATAATATTTATTCGTGAGCCACAAAAAAAAATCGTTTACCCGCAATCACGTCAATGTTTTGTATATTCCACATTTTTCGCGGGCCATGACCTGCGACAAATTGAGATTCAAAAATGAACTCGGGTTCAATTTGACCAAATCGCTAGTCTCTCCAAAAACAATGACAATAAAGCCGTTCAAACAAGTATGACACGTCACTTAATAAGGTCCATAGACTCAATCCGGTGTTAACGCGCTAGCAAGCATTCTCCATCATAAATCGCTGAATGACTTATATTGACAATTCAATATTGAATTAGCTTTGGTAAAAACATCTCCAAAGTAAATCAAACTAGGTTTGAACCACAGAACGTTTGTTCAGTTTTGCCTCAATTTGTCATCAGTTGGCAACCACGAAAAATGGGTTTGTATTTTTGTCAAGCTACTTCAAACTTGCCTTTACTTCTTCTGCACGCTTCATCAACACTTTCATGCCTTCTGTTTGTTGCTCAACTGTGACAGCAGGCACACTATGCTAAAAAAGTGTCGACAAAACGTTCAAGTCAGTTTAGCTAAAAGAAATTTTAACATTTTCATCCACACTTACTTTGAATATTCCACCTTTGTTCCAGGCTATTGAAGCAAGTGTGTGACCTAAAAGAGACTGATGCTCATAACCAAGAGATGCAACTCCACACACTATTGGCTTCTCGATAATATTTGTTGGATCGTACGCCCCACCAATACCAACTTCGATGATTGCTACATCAACCTACGCCCGGATGTTATATTAGAAGGGGATAGTATCAAACATGCATAAACATACTTACGACAAGATACCTTTTTCCGCATGAAACTATGGAATGCCAAAAGAGTGAGAAAGCGGAAATATTCTGGAGTGTTAATTGGAATACCATCAATCAACTAAAAAAAGCGCGCCTTGTCAGTAAACTTTTAGCAAACTCAAACAATTCTTGATTAGCAAAACCGACCATTCCCGGATTGGCAGCCTCAGCCTTGTTTAATCTTTCACAAACTTCGAAACAGTAATTAGTAAAATCTTCTTTATTCAATTTCTTCCCATCGATCCTAATCCGCTCACGAACCGATCTAAGATGAGGAGACGTATATGTGCCTATAAAAAGAAAAATAAAAAAAAAAGTGTTAAAAATTAGAAGCGTTAAGAAGCTTAATTAATCCTTTAGAAACCGTGTGTCAAAGCATATACCGAAGCGAAGTCGAGGCATTCCATCCATATGTCTGAGATTCCTCAGTATGGATTCAGTAAACATGCATACGGATCCTTTTCCTTTACTACCAGAGATGTGTATAATATTCAGCTTATCGAAATCCCTTGGCTATATAAAAGTTAGTCGATATATGGCTTCGTTTATTCGTATCATAAATCTTCCTTACAACCTCGTATCCAATTCTCCTGCAATATTCCCTCATTTCAGGTAGACTTCTATCATTAAGCTTACCACCTGACTGACGTATGCTTTCAAGGACCGAAGCGTTAGTTTTTAGAGTACCCAAGAAATCTATTACTTTCTTGTATATTCGAAAGAAATTAATTCCTATATACCATTATTCAGCGTCGAACTTTAGTTGTCATTTACCTCATATGATTTCTCCATATTTCTCGTTGCTGATACACTAAAGTAGGTCTTGAAAATCAAGTGCTTGAAATCAGCTCTAATATGAGGCATACTGTGCAATAAATTTATAGGCTTGTTTCATGTCAAAATTTAACAAAATCTGTTCAAGGTTACCAAATTAGTGTACTATTATCCAAAAAGCTTTTACTTGGAGATTAGAGTATTGATTCACGGATCAAGTCCAGAAATGAATAATTATAGTGCAGCACGTACAGTCTCACGAGAAGAAACGAGTTATAGAATGTTGCTGAAATGGAAGAAGGTTGTAATTGGAAAGTCCACAGCGAATGATGCATTTTAATAGTACAGCTAATTATTGAAACGAACATACAAAAGTATTCCACTATGGCGATAGGGAAACTATACTTGAATCGTTTAATCAGAGAGAGTCTAAAGAGAAGCTTGATACGATAGACATAAACGATGACGCGCTTTATTACTATCTTCATTCCGTCTACTATATGATGTGTGTTTGGACCTATCAACCTTCAATATCTATAATCTAAAATGGAGCATTTTACATTCTTGATATTAGTCGCATGTCTTTACAATTTGTTCTACATGGTATCGTTCTTTTAAATTGATCACTCAATGTTCGGCCGCGGTAGTACACGAATTATTTTCGCCAGAGTTTAATAATTCGTTCATTCTTTTCCTAGCGTCTCTCCATTTGAAATGTCTAGCTGTATTGACAACAAATTTTAGCTTGTCGGGATCACAGATATTCAATTCGCCTCGAAAGTTTTCCTAATAATATTAATTATCGATTTTCCTGCACAGACGGAAGAAGACAGTCGTGTAACGCATGCTAATATCGACGGTGACGTTTCACTTGACGAGATCGTAATCGTAAAGTTAGCTTCACAATCCTGATTTGTCGCATGCCTGCAGTATGTCTATTATCATTTTGACAGGTCCCCTAATGCTAATTATAACCGATATCACAGAATGATGTCATCATCAGATGCTTCAATAATGCATACTGAAGACATCTATGAACTCACAATACACTCATACACAAAAACCCATCACATCACCACGGACCTCAAATGACACATCTATCAATTCAACGAACATCTTACTCACAACAATACTACCCAGAAACACTTCTCACTCCAGCAACCACTTCTACTCGCACACACCATTCTCAACAACAACAGCAAACACCACCACCACCGCTACCACAGCAACAAACACTCCCCGGCTCGTTTCCCACCTCACGTACTTACACAGAACAGCCAGCCCAATACTCACAAACCTCTTCACTTCACAGACGAAACTCTCCGCCTCCTTCTCTCACCCCTTATGCTAGCGATATGAGTGTAAAAGGGACCAGAGACATGAACGGAGTAGCTAGGAAGGATATGTACGAGTACACAGCACCCTGGAGTGTGTATGGATTAGACTGGAGTAAGCGGCCTGGTGACAAAGCATTTAGATTGGCACTCGGAAGTTTCATAGAAGAATATGCTAACAAGGTATGTGAATCTTGAGGATGAAGAGCAAGAGGGATAGAATTTGAAGTATGCAATGCCGCATTAACAGTATTGAATGCACATTAGCTGAATGTGAGAATAAAAAAATTTTATACAAAAGGCAGACTATAATTGTTATAACGTAATTCTGAATTATGGGATAATGACTACCCATGAGAAACTGTCAAAAAAAGTTTAGTATTAAGTCATTAAATAGGAGATAGAGGTTAGTGAAAATAATATGCCAAATTGTCAAGCAGAAGAATGAATCAATAGCGGTACGGCGAATTGCAACGACGACGACGACGACGACGACGACGACGACAGCAACAACAACAACAACGATAGTAACAACGACAACAAGGACAACAACGGCAGCAAGGGCAACAACACAATTCATCATTATCGTTTATAATGTATATAGTCAATTACGCCAACTTCGACTTCAATAATCTTTAAACATCGTCTCTGAATGAATGAACGAATGAATAAATCGATCAATCGACAGTCAATCAATCAATCAATTACTCTTTGAAATCTAATTCCTTGTGTTTAATTCTCGTTCAATTTCAGTTACAAATAATAGCATTATCAGACACGGTCTATGATGATCCCTACCAACGCCCGTCTACTGGCGATTTCGTCAAAATAGCTGAAGTCGATCATCACTACCCCATAACGAAAGTGCTATGGGAACCAAATAAGGTACGATAGAGAGGTAGGATTAATGGGAGAAGCAACTAAAAAAAAAAGGCCAAGCAATATTCATTTTTCCATGACTGACTGACCATGTTAATTATAAAAAGGGTGGTCTAAAAACCCCCGACCTGCTCGCCACGACCGGCGATCACTTACGTTTATGGGAGATTATAGATGATGTTAACACTACAAGTAATACCATTGGAGCGAATAATGGAACTGGGGTGCGAACACAGAGATTAAATCACCGACAATTGTTAACGAATGTAAGTCTCGGCTATAGTTGCGGAAAAAAAAAGTGAAAGGAGGATGCTACTGAAAAAAATCTTCAGAATGCCTTTTAATTTATATTTTCTGACAACCGTCAATATATTGACGTTATCAGGCCTCTCTTATTTTTTTATCATCATCCTATTATATACCCTCACTTGACTTTTCGTTCCCTCATTCCCTCTGATTATCTCCCATTTTTTAATCAGACCAAAGCAGATTTTAATGCGCCGCTAACATCCTTCGACTGGAATGAAATCGATACTTCCTTGGCAGTAACTTCGAGCATCGATACGACGTGTACTGTCTGGAATGTAGAAACTACACAGGCAAAAACACAACTTATTGCACATGACAAAGAAGTATACGATGTTGCTTTCGCGTCGGGGAGTATAGATGTCTTTGCAAGCGTTGGCGCAGATGGGAGCGTAAGGATGTTCGATTTGAGGTAAATTTACGCTGCATTACTGGGAATAGATCAATAGAACGAAAGAATAATCTATCGTGTCTACGGGATTGCTATTACTTCCAAAGCCAATTTATTATTTACAATTTTCCTTTTGCGGTTTTAAAGATCATTAGAACACTCAACGATAATCTACGAAACGCCTACGAATCCACTTCCACCCCAACTCTCCGCCTCTCAACACACCGCCTCTAATCCGCAGCTGTCTCTTCTTCGATTGTGTTTCAACAAACTCGATTCCAATTATCTTGCCACATTTCACATGGACTCTCCCGATGTACAGATATTGGATGTTAGAGTTCCTGGAATGCCTGTTGCGGAGTTGAGGGGTCATACGGCAACTGTTAATTGCGTTTCCTGGGCACCTAATAGTTCCAGTCTTCTTTGTAGTGGAGGTATGAAAGAGGTGTACATGGCAGACTATCCAAGGAGAGAGAGAGATAGTAGGCTTATATATAAAACGCAATAGACTAATTATGTTCTAATCTGTCATCCATTGGTTGTACTTAACGAATTCATTTGCCTTCCCCGTTCCCCATCTCCCCGACACAGGCGATGATTCACAAGTACTAGTATGGGATGTCCAACTTCAATCACCAGTTTCCCCCCCTCATCCAAGTCCGCGTGAACTCCAACAAGTTCCTTCATTAGCTTATAGAGCGTCGGCAGAAATCTGCCAATTAAGCTGGAGTTCGGCTTCACCTACATGGGTTGCAATAGGATTTAACAGGACTGTTCAAGCATTGCGAGTATGATTACGGGTGTCAAAAAAAAAAAAAAGATGTGTATCATGCGATCTGTCTGAACACCAGATGCCAAATAAAGTACATGTGAAAGGTTTAGCCTCTCATGATCACATTTGAAGTCACCCAGTTAGTAAATATGTAAATAAGATTCCCATTAAAATTGTTTACCAAGACGATCATAGGGTTCTATCTTGCGTGTTAGAAGAGCAGTAAAGAAGCAGCCCCATTTTTAAGTTATTAATACAACAGAGGATGAGGTGGCTAATGGTTATATTAGGAGAGTTGAAGACGACGATGTTAGCATGAGCGTCTCAAGGCGGCAAGAATAGTTTTCTCTTTTTTTGTTTGTTTAAAAGAATAAATTAGGCACGTGAAAATAATAAATTGGATCTCCACAAAAAAGAATCACATTTATTAACAGTGCGCATTAAGTGAATAATCTCTAGTAACAACGAAAAGAATCTTATTATCTCTCGACCGTTATACGATTTCTGACAACACTAGCAGCCGAGCTTAGCATACATTGACCTGATCCTTCTGTATAAATTAAATAGGCCATACACTATAAACCTGTCGATTGCATCAGTCTGTCTGCAATTACGATTAGTCGATACATATCATATAGAATTTTCGCTTGCAAGAAAAAAGCCCAGTCTGTGATCGATTTAGTCTTGTTTGTGTTGCCTTTGTTTTAATTGCACGGATCAGAAAGAACAGTGTCCACGATGCCCCGAGTTTTAATATATCTAAAAAAGTTTATCTCTAATTGTGTAGTAATTAACCGCTTATCGAAAGTGGATGTATACTAATACAGTCACACTGATAATTCGGACCATTAGTCGAGACATGGGGTAATACTAAACAGTCGTGTAAATGCATCTAGTGCGTCCATGACTCCATAGTAAGGTCGCACCTGACGATAACGATTGCGAGTGAACAATATTAAGAATACAGTCATGAATCATTTTTTCACTTCATTCGATGTCGATGTTTCCGTTGTATGACAAGCATGCCTTTACTATGACATTGTTCCTTATCGATGCGCGATTATGCGGCTGATGCTGTCAACCTATTTAGATCCCTTTGCTTGAGAAGTATCTGTACGAATTCATGGGATATGTTGACGTTACTTCATAATGAAGCAAAAACACGTGAATAACAATATTAAACCTTATCGAATTATCATGCTCCGATCACACATTTCGCAATATATTATAAGACTATAAATGGCAACGGTTATAAAAATATGCAGAATAATCTAACTAAATATAACACTAGTAATTTGAGTGGTGCTATCATTCACGGAGAATTTCTTGTCTGAGTAAAACCCATTTTATATTTTTAATAAAACTGTTACTCGTCTTAACATAATAGATTGCACTAAATAGATTCGGCATAGCCTACATAAAAAATCTGTCAATTTATTATCTGTGTAATCAGCTATTATATTTTTCTGTGATTAATTGGATGCTATATATGCTCTACGTGGTATTGGGATTTGAGAAACCAATAAAAATCAAACCAGACAAAGTGGGGGGGGGGGGAATAAGTTAATGAGCAAGAAGTAACACCAACTTATAAAATAGTAATTATAATCCTATTACTATATGTTCCCCCGCATATATCAATTTTGATAATACCCCGTTGATACCCTCATCCTATCAACATATATCCAGATTTCATTCCTAATTACATGTACCTCGCTGATATTAAGATCAATATAAATTAGTATTTTAAATTTAAACGTCTGATCTATAATATCGCAAAGTCTCGTTCAATCGAATACACACAACGTGAGACAAAAAATTTTAACAGATTTTTTATCAAAGAGAGAGAGAGAGCCACAATTCATAAGAGGATGAGCAAATGGTTTAGTCTATCTTGGTAAAAGGTTTTTATTATGAATAAATTTAAAGACGGTAGTAATTCTGACCACTACTAATTGCATGAATAATATCATATTACTTAATTCGAGATAAATATCGTCATTTATTTAAAACACTAAGGCTCTTGCCTATAAATATAAAATAGAGGAAGAAAAAAGCTTGATCGGGATCTTGGTTATGCTATGACTGCACATACACTCCCTGGAAGAAAGTATCCGATGGGAGTTTGAAGTATTTCGCTTTCTTGAACCATGGATCGTTGATTAAAATCAATTTCGCCGATCTTTAGCTCTAACCAACGTTGTTATTAATATCAAAGTATAAGCTTTGACGACACAAAGAGCTGGCGAGCCTATTGATTGTCAATTGAATAAATAAAACGAATATCAAGTTGTAAAAAAGCCATTTGCATTTCGTAGATTACAATAACCCATTTAATATTTAAAGCACTTTACAACGAATTGTATATATACTGAGTTGTATAAGGAGAATTCTCTGCAGTCACACACCTGTAGATTCGGGTTATTACTTAGTATGTGTATCTGAAGGTACGCTGCCACTAGGTGTAAATCGGAGGTTTGAAAACACATAGTAATAGTAATAGGGTGTAAATTAATCAAAACCCCGTTACCCCCCCCAAAAAAAAGCTGTGCTTACCTCGGCTTTGTGGCCGTAATAGTAGTAAATGATTTACTTGCTGGTAATCCGTCCCAAAACGCCGACTGTAGCTTATCACGCTCGGGCAGGATACACGGACCACTGAATTGAAAGCGCATCGTAGCCACAGTTTGCGAACGTGCTTCATTGGTTCTTGGTTATGATGATACAGTTACTCACCTCTTTGTTATTAGTACCGAACTGAATAAAAGTTCCTCGCGATAGTTATTATTAGTACCGAACGGGCCGGCATTCTTGAACCAAGATCGCAAGCAACGTGAGTCACCACATAAACTTCGAACACGCGTTTACTTATATAAACACATATATACCCAAACTCTGTTTTTTATATATATTCTCTTTTTTATTTGTTTTTTGTTGTTTCTTTCCACTCTATTTTATCGATATATATTTTTTTCGCTCTCAACAGCTAACCTTTTTCTCCATTGCACATGCATCGCTTCACAACAACCTCTCTTCCCCCAAGCGCAAATACAACGTTATCCGAAAGCTAAATGATGTACAACGCCCGCATTTGTGTACGCTCGCGTGGAGGGCAGAATGTGCGAACTCTCTCGTCGGCTATGTGGTCGATAAACCGAGTCGTCGTTCAAAGACTTGTTCGAGAGTTGTAGCGAACTGTCGTATGTGCGTAATATAGAGTGGCGGCAATATATGTTGGGCAATGGAGAGTAGCGTTTGGATAGGATATATGTACTTATATGAGTATCGGCTATGTGGTTGATAAACCGTGTCGTTTTGAATACTTGTTTGTGAGTTGTAGCGATCTGTAATCTGGAGTGTCGGCAAATGTTTGCCGATAAAAGAAGTTCGGGGAAATTGTATTATACATACGTTTATCAATCAGAAAGAGATATTTCCATTCACATCTTTATACAGCCCGGAAAAAATAATAGCGGTGCTTATTAAATGTTGTTCACGATAACAAATTCTACTTGTAATAAAGAGATGATAAATTTCACAACATGATTTTGGCATTTAACTTTTATACAAGAAAAGCAAGTCTTGGTTTTGGTCAAAAGCATTGTATATGAAAATAAGCTAAAAAAGTTGCAAATAAGGTAGCATTTGTTATTGTAAATAGTTTTACTTATATCGAAAGCAATCTGAGTGGGCGAAGAATTACATTTAGTCTCTATATACAGTAATGCTAACGAACTTCGTTATGCGGTATATCATGCTAATTTAGGAAAACTTCGTTCATGGGTTATTTATTAGTGAGTTTGAAATTTCTTTGTATACAGATTTTAATTATAAAGCTTCGTTCAACCGGAGCTAAACATATATGAATGAATCAGTTCCATAAAAAACTTCGTTATAATAATAAGGCCATCTTCGTTAAAGCAAAATCAAGTCCAGCATTCATTGGCAAAATTTGTTATTTTCATCATATAATGAATACTCTGTACTTCATGTCTAGTACTGTAGACCTTTCACCACTGTTAATTGCTACTGATAATCTGGAATTATAACTATCTCAAGGGTTTATAGGACTGGCTATAAAAGGCTTTACATTGGAGTAGTAAAGACTCTCTATGTGCATCCATGTTTTTTTTAACTTCTTGCTTGAGAAAAAAAAAGGATTGAATGCTATACATCAAATTAAGAATCCATTGTCTCATAAGAATCCGATAAGAGCTCTCATTGCTATTATATTGTAGTCATCATCATAATCCCACTAAGCTACCCTGCTGAGACTGCTATGTCATCACAACAAACCGCAGTAGAAGAATTCCGGCAAAACACGTGCATAATAATAATTATAATATACGATTTATAGGTGAGAAATAGTTTTTGACATTACAGTAGTTTTGCGAAATTCAATTCAATAGTCCTAATTTTAGAATATAGTCAGTGAAACGATGAGAATGTATAGTACGATTATTATTATGTCTAACAACTGGTACAACAATAGGTCCATACTACCCGCGAAAGAAGTAGCACATCTGTACAAACGTCAATCAGTGCACAAACTGACTGTCAAAAGGACCAAGAGACCAAATTATTGTATGAAGGGAACGTCTTTGCTTATTGAACCGAAATATTACCGATATCTGACACATTCAATGACATTTGTAGGTGTCTGCTTTACTTTTCTAAAACACAAATCTCGAAAAAAATTGAATAAAAGAGCCACTTCATACAAAATAGTGTTTGCCGTACTCGAAAATGTAGTTATGGAACGACTAAAAAGACAACTTACGAGTACAGTATTGGTATGTGATTGTGACTGTTTTTGTGAGTTCTTACTTAATTGCTAAATGTTTCAGGTCAATTGAATCCCGAATTGTGGACCTCTCTAAATTCGTATGGAACAAGAAACCATATATTCGATAGTGTCATAAGGATTTGAGAAGTGACATTCGCGTGCGCTGATAAAAATAGACACCCTGATTAGATAAGAAGCGCGACCTTCCGTTAGAATTCATCGTGTTCCTTTAATGATCAATTAATATTAAACGAGTAATTCTTTATATTTTGAAATACATTATTAAGGATTCGTTCCCTGGTATAGTTGTGAACTATATCGATTAGGAATTTTAGATAAATACAAGTATATTAATATAGGCTTCCGAATTAACCTACCGATCGACACTTGTCGTGAAAACTAATAGATAGCTGCGTTAAGAATAGAATATGATTTATTCAAAGAAGACATTTTTGTAACAGCTTTTCCTACTCGCGCATGCTTTGCCTACTCGCGCATGCTTTTCCTACTCGCGCATGCTTTGCCAGCATATTAAATTTAGGAATGCGAACTTATTAAATGGATGGAAACACTGCTTGAGTATATCACCAATTTGACCATGATCTTTTCCATTGCGGATCAAGAGTTACATAGTTCATTTCTTATTGATTACCTCATCCAAGTATCTTTCCCACGCAATCGCTCTCGGCTAACTAAATTTTTGATTGTTAAGGATTGGTATAGTCACATTAGACTAATACCACATTTTCTCTTTCAGCATACACTTCAACGTCAGTTCAATATTGTACCCAGCATATTCCCGTTGAGTTGACATAATATAATGGCTCAATCGACGAAGGAATTTACTCTCAGAGAATTATCTTCTTATAACACAAAGAAATCTCTATACATTTGTATTCAAGGAAAAGTTTATGATGTATCGAAATTTGTTGATGAGGTTAGTTGCAATTGCAAAAGAAAAGAAAAAAGAACGGAAAGATCATAATTTCATTTCAATACTATAACACTCAACTTCTTAGTATACTTATACATATCGCTATTACAACAGCACCCGGGTGGAGAAGAAGTTCTTCTCGACGTAGCTGGTAGAGACGCCACACAGGTATTTGAAGATATCGGCCATTCCGGCGAAGCTCTTGATATTTTAAAAACACTGCTTGTTGGTAACATGAAGACGGTAAGTGGCAATTATGAGAAGATTATTATAGATTGGCAGTTCTTACTTACAAAGGAGAAACGTCTCCGAAAAGTCGCCCGCGCCAACGGTTATTTCCCAGCCACAAGCATTAATATTAGGGTACTATTACTATGTAATACAGTATCCGATGCAAGATCGAACAACAATCTCGCCTATCGACAATACGACGTGTGTAATACGCTCACTTGCGAGCCCCGAACGAGTCGACGAAACAATTAAACGGTCAGCAGCAGCATTTGAAAAATGGAAACGTGTTCCTGTACAAACACGAATCAGAATACTTTCGAAATTTGTTGATTCGTTTGCAGCAAGGAAGGATGAAATTGCCAGGGAATTGACTATTCAAATGGGAAGGTTGGTTTATTACAAAAGACGGAACTGAAGAAGTCATAGATAGAGTATGTTCAAGTTAATTCCTTGTGTTGGATCGACTAGGCCAATAAGGTATGCTCCTGGAGAGATTAATGGAACGGTACAAAGAGGAAAATATATGATATCTATCGCGGAAGAAAGTTTGAAGGATTATGAAGTTGAGAGTTCAGAGGGATCCCAGTTCAAGAAGTTTATTAAAAAGGTGCCATTGGGTATGCATAAGACTATTGATTAACAGGTGATTTTACTAGCGGAAAGACTATTTGATCTAGCTACCATGTTATTTTATCAGGTCCAATCCTCATTATTGCAGGTTAGCTTCGTAACAATCCGACGATTGTTCCCGAGTCCTAATATAAGAACTAAATGGATCATATGTCACACATTGCGATTGTAAATCTTGAAGCATGGAATTATCCTTATCTTATTTCCGTGAACGGAGTAGTGCCTGCAATTCTGGCGGGTAATTACAGTTACATTGTGACATTATTATAGGTTATTGAACAAGCATCTCTTGGCTCATGCAACATATCGCCCTTGTAGGTAACACGGTTATTCTCAAACAATCAGCCCAAACACCGCTTTGCGCGGAGAGGTTTGCAGAGGCGTTCAGAGAAGCTGGACTCCCCGATGGTGTATTTCAGGTGAGACTAACAATCGTATGTCTGTTCACCAATATGTATTATTAAAGTATCTCTGCTGTAAGTATCTACACATGGATCATGCTGCGACAGCAAGGGTAATCGAGCATCCGTCAATCGCATACGTAAATTTTACTGGATCAGTCGAGGCGGGTCATGAAGTCCAGAAAGCCGCCAGTGCAAAATTTATGGGTGAGTCCGGTATTGACTACGTTTTGTATCAGAACTGCGCGTCACGATTATGTTTCTCTCGTAGCAACTGGTCTTGAACTCGGTGGGAAAGACCCCGCCTACGTTCGCCCGGATGCAGACTTGGATTACACAGTAGAGCAGCTTGTCGATGGATCGTTCTTCAATAGTGGACAATGCTGTTGTGCCATTGAGAGAATATACGTTCATGAGGATATATATGATACATTTTTAGAGAAGTTCGTTGCATTGACCAAGGTATGTTGGCATTTGACAGTTATGTTTTGAGATCGTATGATTATATTCACAATAACATTTCTGTTGAAAGCAATACAAGTTAGGAAATCCATTGGATTCAGAAACGACGCTTGGTCCAATGGTACGTACAAAGGCTGCCGAGTTTGTTCGCGGACAGATCAACGATGCTGGTAGGTATACATATACATTTTCGTTGTGCTTGCAGTTGCTTTAGATCTAAGATACTTTTTCATAACTATAGTAAAAATGGGCGCGAAACCGTTGATTGAAAAAAGTCTCTTCCCCGCAGACAAGGTCAGTTTCAATTCTATATCTGTAGATTTGGTAGCGATATAGTATCATGTATTGTGGTAGCTATAAGTGCGAATTAATTGAAAAGATTAGAGATTGTACTTCCTGTTGGTTAGGGGGACAGGCACGCAATATTTTAAAATTCAGCCTTCTTTATTGGATCCAATTTCTTACCAACTTTGATGCAGGACAATACGCCATACATGGCACCACAGGTTCTCGTTGACGTAAATCATTCAATGAGAGTTATGACTGAGGAAAGCTTTGGTCCAGTCATTGGTATCATGAAGGTTGACAAAAAAAAATCTCTAAAGACGCACAGTTCTTGATCTACCAACGATAGTTACAAATCCGTGTATTTATACATAGGTCAAATCTGACGAAGAAGCAATTAAATTGATGAATGACTCTGAATTTGGCTTGACAGCAAGCATTTGGACCAAGAATGCTGATGCTGCCATTGCTATCGGAAACGAAATAGATACCGGAACATGGTTTATGAATCGCTGTGATTGTAAGTACAACGGTTATAGATATTATAGCGGTTGGCAGCATGTTCTCACAATATAAATATCTTTAGATTTGGATCCGGCATTGGCCTGGGTTGGGGTTAAGAATTCAGGGCGTGGATGCACATTATCCAAGTTTGGATTTGATTATCTAACAAGGTGGGTTAGGTGATTCTTGTCGTTTGTGAAACTGGCAATTATGTGGATATTAATATGGTTGTTCATTCTTCGTATAGACCAAAGTCATACCATTTAAAATTGGTTACCAGCGAAAAAATTAATTAATTAATGTTACTGAAGTATCCAGTTCTGAGTAAATTTTGCATCCGTATCGGCCAATAAACGTTAACCTAACTGAGCTCAGAACTATTAAAGAAGAGCAGAATTATTGTGGCGTCACGTCAATGTTTTGAAGTAATATGTTTATATTGGTCCGAGACGACTCGGTCACATCAGTTTATCGCACTAAACATACCCTTGACTCGCGATATCTTTACGTGGCTCTTACAGTATATGTAGATTGCATATCGCCGTATGAGAATCAAAATACATACTACGAATATGAGCATCTTATCCTGATTGCTTGGTAGATTCTTTATCCTTTGATCTCTCTTCTATCAAGTCGACTATAGCTTTCAAATATGGAGTCTTCCTCATTAAAGCTTTCTCAATATAAAATGCTCTTTTTCCAGTTGTATGGGGATCTCTCACCCATGTAATCCATCGATATCGATATTTTGACTCTTTCAGGTCGCCGAGTTTAACTTTAGTCTCTTGCAGACGACCAAAATATGTGAATGTCTCTATTGTAAGTGTAGTTGACGGATTGGGTTTGGTTTTCGGCGTTGCAGTAGGAGAATCTACATGCAGACGTGTGACATAGGCAGCTGTCAAATAATTCACAAAGAACGTTGGTGCTATAGTTGAGAGCCCAGCTGTCGATAAAATGGATTGTGAGTAACAAGCAGCATTGGGAAATTGTGACGGTCATCCAACACAAAAGCATTTATACTACCTACGAGGGATCCAATCAACGGTTCTTTGCCATAGATCATTATTGTTGGAATAGAGATGCATCCACAAGCTGACAGGAGCAAAGAATAAAGCTTAAATTGCTTTATCTGATCAGCAAACGGTCCAACATAGACAAGCGTGCGAGGAGGGGGTTTGTTTCGCTCCAGTCCAATATCACCTTTGTATCTGCAATGCTGAATATTGATTAAACAATTGGATATGCGCTTGTGTTTATAGCATGGCGCATTAGAATAAATCGTACGAGCAATTCCAGAGTGTAGATGTTGACCTGACGAACAGGCCGAGATCAAAAATTTCATTTTTTAAATCAAGGATTTGGGAATGTAGTCGCGTGTTTGTATCAGCGTTACACATACAATCTTTGCATTAATGTTCGCAATAATAGTATTTAATATACTTTATGATAAAATTGAACTTGCATTCCGATACTTTATCTTGCTTGAAGGCCTCAATTCGGCTTAATACTGCACACGCAAACTTAAAATCGGCATCGATAAGGGCGGGGAAGAGATTTATATCAAATCTTAAGCCTACACCGTACGCTACTGGTCGCTGCGGGACTGCTGCGCGTTACGGAATCCATCAAACGAATAAATACGAATTGACAACAGCTTTTCCTAATCATAATATGTCAACCTCTTGTTCTGAAAGATCACAGATGGATGTGCCAGGCGCAGAAAAGTCTTATGGAATCAACCCTCATACCAAAGAGCTTATGAAAGTTATCTTGACGGACAAAGAGCGGGAAATATGTGCTGCGCTAAACAAATTTGCAGAATATTCGAAAGAAAAAGAGCCTGTTCAATTGAGAATAGCCGGAGGCTGGGTTAGAGACAAGGTGAACCTTTATCACATATTTTTGTTTAGAGATACCTGACGGGCCCTGATTTCGGTCTTAACATTTTACTACTTTCCTCGACACAAGCTTCTAGGGTTAAAATCACATGACATAGACGTAGCCATCGATTCGATGACAGGATATGAATTCGCAAAGCGCCTGAACGAGTTTCTTAAGAAGCAAGGGCATTCTGTGTCCGACATTGGGAAGATCGAATCAAATCCTGACAGATCAAAGCATCTTGAAACAGCAACAACAAAAATTTTTGGTGTAGAAATTGATTTCGTGAATCTGAGAAATGAAGTATACGCGAAAAATTCAAGGACTCCTGCCGAAATAGTGAGTTATTTGATCAAGTGCGATGACATACGATGCGCAATATAATAATTGACATTTTATTAGACACCTGGAACGCCAGAGGAAGATGCACGAAGGCGTGATATCACAATCAACGCGTTATTTTACAATATACATTCTGGAGAAGTAGAAGACTTTACAGGAAAAGTAATATTTTTACCGCAGTAATCACAAATATCATGCCATTTTGAGACCTCCTCTCTTAAAATCGACTTGGGTGTCTTTTATTCATGTTAAGGGTATCCCAGATCTAGAAGCAGGATTGATCCGAACCCCATTACCTGCTTTTCAAACATTTGAAGACGATCCCCTCCGCATCCTTCGTTGCGTCCGATTCGCAAGCAGATTCAATTTCGATATTACAGACGAGATCAAAGAGACCATACAAACAGAAACTATTCGGGTTAGTGAACTTGTAAGCATATCATCTTTTTGAATTGTAAATAACAATATGCTTTTCAACTAGAACACCATAAGATCGAAAGTTTCTCCCGAGCGTATTGGTATCGAGATATCAAAAATGATCGGTAATGACATGAATGAGGTTTTATAGCGTTTTTTAGTCGCTCTTCTCAATTTACTTGTCCTTCAGAACGTGATCCGCTGCGCTCACTCGAATTCCTATATTCGCTGGGATTGTATGAAACTGTATTCGCATCGCCTCCTAGAAAACTAATTGTAAATGGATCAATGAGCAATCCGGAATATGGTCTAAATGTTGCGCGAGTCATCAAATGGTATGGTAAAAGGTGGATTTTATTCTGACATATCATTGACAACAGATTAACAGCATAATCTGATATCGGATTCAATCCGTTGTAGGATTTTTCAACTCTCTGCAGACGATGAATTGCATGAGCTTCTCAAAAATCGAACAGCGGACGAGATCAAATCTTTGTATCTGGCATCCATCCTGTTACCCTACAAGAATATGGTAATTCTGGAAAAGAGAAAGATGGTTCCGGCATCTAGCTACATTATACGGGAAAGTCTGAAGGTATAGAGGACTATACCTACTAAATAGATCATCAAGAGTTGCAAATGGCATTAATACTAATACTAATACTTATTATTAGCTGGCAAATGTCAACGCAGACATCACGTGTAAGCTGTTTGTTACGATAGAAGCGGTACGGAAGGCAGTGCAAAAACATTCCGAAGAAGGCGGTATAGGCAGATTAGAATTAGGTAATCAGAATCTATTATTTTATATGTAGTGATACTGAATAATTAATTGATTGAGCCGCGATTGTTATAGGATTACTTATACGAGAGATTGGCATGCCAAAGTACATGGGGGAAAAGTGGCCAATAGCAGTAGTTCTTGCAATGGCGATCGACCTCTTACCAGAAAGAGAAAGTATAGATGCAGGCTCGGGTATGTTCGATGATAATTCAGCAAATGTCGCAAGATTATATAACTAATATGATTATTTTATAGTCGACAAGGCATTGAAGATTGTGCAAAAATACAATAAATTAATGACTCATGCAACCAAACTCGGCCTAATGGATTGCTATTTATTGAATCCTATCATTAATGTAAGAGACCAGCTACGCGTTTATCAAATTCAAATATTCTTTATTGACACACAAAAATATTATGCAGGGGAAAGAAATATCTGCATTGCTTCATATTCAACCAAGCGAACAATTCAAAAGCATTCTGAATTCAGTGATGGAATGGCAGCTTGAACATCCTGAAGGAACAAAAGACGAATGTAAAGAATACATAAAGAATAAAGTTGTTGTAACAAGGTAGCATGTTATGAACACAGGGTTATGCTGCTTCTGTAGTAGCAATAAAACTCATGAATCCGGTTGTCGCGCGACCTGTTAAGTATCACCGTATTTAATAGCATTGTAGTGCGTTTTATAGCAGGCTCGAAAAGTTCTGAAGGGAAGTGTAAAATGGAAGCGCTTTGCGGATGACTTTTGAAGTACAGAAATAAAATATTATATGTGTAGCTGGCAAAAGTTTGTCATTTTATGTTCAAGATTTTAATAACTCTCTAGACTCTCCGTGAGCAAAAAAACAGCAAATCAGTATGTGTCAACCAAATGAGTTAATTGTGTCCCGGATCGAGAATTTTAGGGTCGTGTAACACTGATTATCAAATTTTTTTAAACTCTTGTGAATACTCGACTGAAACTTCATTACCAAACCACAAATCCGCGCTCTCTCCACTTTCGTTTGCAATGTCACGAGGCAACTTTGGAGCTCGCGGGGGCTCTGGACGTGGACGTGGTGGATATTCAGGAAGAGGTAATATTTTGTATCTTTTTCGCCAATTATGTTATTTCGTGAACGGAGTCACATTGAATAATTGCATATTCTTTAGGTCGTGGGGGGGCTATGGCCTACACTCAAGGCCCACCGAGTCATGTCCTCGGTATGATTTAATTATTCTCATTATTATCGTGACTAGTTATATGTATAATTGTTGAACATTCGTGATTTCTCCCCTCTTCCCCTCTCCCCCTCGCAGAAATGGGTCACTATCTTCATGAATGTGAAGGTGATATGGTCTGTCGCTCGTCAAATCCCAAAATACCATACTTTAATGCACCCATATATTTAGAGAACAAGCAACAGATAGGGAAAGTGGATGAAATATTAGGGCGAATAGAAGAAGTTTATTTCACAGTCAAATTACAGGAAAACATATTGGCGAAATCTTTCAAATCACAGGACAAGGTTTACATAGCAGAGGATAAACTTTTGCCATTGGAGAGGTTCCTACCAAAACCACCCGTACCCAAAGTTAAAGGTAACCAAACTTGGTCTCGATAAATGAATGGAATCATTTGTGAGAATCGAAGTAGAATGAGCAATTGATATTGGTCTTTCATTTAGGTCCTAAAGGGAGAGGAGATCGAGGACGCGGTAAGTTACATAAAAGATAACGAATTAGTCTTTTTCTCCTCCTTTTACTACAGCTAGTGGCTAATCTTACTAATTTGAGTAGGACGCGGGGGTCGCGGACGTGGTCGTGGTGGAAATTTTGGTGGTCGCGGTAATTTTGGCGGTGGTCGCGGTGGTGGTTTCGGTAGTCGTGGTGGTGGTTTCGGTAGTCGCGGTGGCGGAAGTTCGCGCGGTGGATTCCGTGGTGGACGTAGTAGTAGACGTTGGTAGAGTGATTACAATAAAGCTATCGGACCCTCCCCCCATGAATTGTTTTGAAATTTCGGCCGCTTCTTCTCTCTTTCCAGTTCACCGAACAATGTACGAATTGTGATTAGGACTTCTTCCTCTCAAAAGATAAAGCCACACCTTAATTATAATTACTGCAGATTATGTCAACTAACCGTTCCCTTGCTCTCATCATGAAGGTTTGCGTTTCTTTGTTAATAGCACCTACAAACGCTAAAATACAAAATTGAATAATTATATAAAATCCATAAATAATATCACTATTTTACGAAAGACATAATTGGCTAGTTATTCAAACTAGCCGAGAGAGAGATTGTGTTCTCCGTGGGTTTGCTCTCACCATGAGCAATCTTTTTTTCGCGTCCAAGCGCTCATCGTTAATTCACGTCCCTATATCGTTGCTTGGTTAAACACGGCAAGCAATGGGTTTTTTATCTACAGTCATAGGAAAAATAATGATGATTAATGCAGACGGTTCATTATGTGATAAGATCATTAATTACCTTCAGCTTGCGCTTTCACATCCAGATTACTATATAAACGCTGTTTGTCAGATGGGGGATTTACAGATGGAATACTTTATTTCAAATCTTGACATTAACATAATCTTAATATATATATACATACATACTCTCTATCAATAAATTTAAAGATATCTAACTTCATCGATACCTAAACTTCGCCTAACTTGTATAATAGCAACCAACTCCTTAATAGCCTCTTCCAGAATCACAATATTATTTAACAGGGCACTCAAAGTAATCTCGCTTGGTTTAATCTCCTTTGTCTTGGTCCTCGTAGACTTTTTGGATGAGAAGCCTTCTTCGTCATCCTCATCTACTAACTCATTGACATCCTCCTCCTCCTCGTCATTAACGAAATGTGCTGGAAACAGCGGTTGCACTTTAATACTCTCCGTCTCTCGAGAATGAGTACCAAGAGTAGTAGTCACATTAGATGAAGATTGCGTAGGCGGAGCAGAATCTGCTCGATGAATAGAAGACATCTTCTGGTTACGTCCTGGTAAAGATGACGTAGTTCCCCTACGGCTTGGACTAGAGGAAAATGAACTGCTCACAATTGTACTGATAGATGACGGATACGCCGGATTGCTCATCCTCCTTGATGGTTGGGGTGTATTAATTGGAATTGGCTGTCGGAAGTAGTTTTCATCAATCTCATCCTCAGTATCCAATAAACCCTGTCTACGTTTCTTCAAGTGCTCATCAAAGCCATCAATCATGCTACGATAGTATTCAACTTGTTTTGTCAAGGTTCTGAAAATAGCAAAAAATATTGGAAAGTTTTTCCACTTGGGTATACCTCCAAGAGCTTTAGCGTCAGATGGAGTTGTATCCGCATTATCGTCAACCGATTTGTCATCATCATCATCATCCAACCCGTTGATTGGCTTGTCATCCCTATCCGCAAACGAATTGAAATCACTATCGATATCCCAATCCTTTGCCATAGCCTCTCGACGATCTCCACGATCAATTCGATCGACACTACTGAATACAAGCCAGCCCTCTAATGATCTATAAGGACACATAGCTAGTGCAGAAATGACGCCGGTCAGCGCAAGGTTTAATTCGGGAGAATTTACGAAAAAATTAGCTAGCGCTCCAAGCAGGATTTGCAGGAGCGAATCACTCGGATTATGCCGATCCGTGGGATTCAACCGATGTCTAGGAACATCGGATATTCCCGTTGAAGAAAGCTTTCCTGCGCCCCTCTGACTGTATAAAATCTTCTGTCTTGTATTATTTGTTACTTTAGGCTTGGATGGTCCCTCTTCATTCCACTCCAAGTCTTGACCTTTACGATAACAAAGATCAGCTTCAATAATTGCCTCAGCATCACGAACGTAGTTTTCGTATCCATTCGTGAAAACATCCAATTTATTAGAAGGGTCGGTTATTGAAATGAGCGAGAAAAATAGATCGAGTTCTCTGGAATGATGACTAATAGTTGTCAATTTTTGAGGTCCACCAACACCAGGCGATACAGAGAAATCTGTCTGGCGCATTTCTTCCAAGTAGTGTGGTTTAGGGAAACACGTTGCGCTTTCATCCGGCTCGAAACTAAGAAGTCTGAGCGAGTACCTGCAGTGCTTAGAAATCATTGTGTGGAGCAATTTGAGAGCGGCAATGACAGTTGGCTGTGAAGACGACTTCAGTCGGGAGAAAATCAAATCTTTAAGCGTAAATCGACCAACTGCGGTAAAATAAGGAGATGATGTGATTGTACTGGCTTCGACCCCGGCAAAAAGATTAATAGTACTTTGCCGTTTTTGCGCCTTGCTTGTAGCCTTTTTCTTCCAAAAATCTTCATTGTCACTATCTGAATCCATTAGAAAGCCGACAATAACATCAACCAGTTCTTCCTGCTCTATTGACTGTAGAATCATATCAATATAAGATATGACAGCCACAGCCGAACCATCTGTATCTGAGCATTCCATGATTGATGGATATAAAATATTTTCGAGAAAGATGGATTTGATGTTTTGAAGAAGAGCAAGGGATATTTCGACACTCGGACAACGGTTTAATACATCCTGACAGAATTCCAACAGCTTACAGAATGAATCTAGTTGCACTTTGAATGATAGAGACGACGACACTTCAATGCCATTCTGCCGAGCGCGGTCCATTTCCGCACTAGTATTATCCCCAAAGCCCAACAACGTAGCACTAGTAAGTACACCAGTAGAACTTTTCACCATTAATTTACGAGGCAACTGTGAGTAGAGAGCACCCAAACCAGCAGACATAATCGTGGCGAAATCACTCTCTAAAATGAAATCTCCCAATTGACCTTGAGCCAGATCCATGATAAACAGCAAACCAGTACGAGCGAAATCACCACTTCGACCTTCTCTGTGTACGAACTGCAACAGATAAGAGAACAACAAAAATTCGTATTCTGGTTTCTCCGGCTCCTCGGTGAATTCTGTTGTCTTCAACGGTGTCATTGTAGTACTACCGCTGGCAACGGAAACCCCATCGTCAGGATTCCCATCTTGACTGCTACTGGACGAAATACTCGTCTGTACACCGTGAGCTAACACACTTTTCGGTGCAGCTTTCTGCGGCGTAGTCAACCAGTGCACGTCGTGGAAAAAAATATTAAGCAGATCCGGAAACCCCTTCATCTTCCAACATATGTAATACATCAAATCGACCAAATCTTCATGGTATTTCTCACTCTGTTGTTGATCTTGTACACATGTCCGCAATAACTTTACTGTCGGCTCGTGTACTGGCCGTTGAACAAGGAACTGATCGTCTAACATTTCAATCATGTAGGCGACGGTCCGGAGAACCTCTCCACGAACGCCAGCTGGAACGTCAGGTTCAGAGAGATCGACGAGCTTCTGAAGGATATCATTGCGTAGGAATTCTTCCATACAGAGACCAGTATTCTGGTCTTCTAAACTGAGACTTTCGTTACAGAGTGCGTCAGTCATAGTCTCGAGGTGCTTATGGATATCAATCAGTTCGACATGTACTGGTTTTCGGTCTTTATCATCGGCAGGCGTCTCCAGCATAGACTAAAACATAAGGATCAATCATAAATATCGAAAACAACAGAAAAGACCGGTTTCGACATTTGTGTCAGCATCGACAAATGATATTCAGTAAATATAGAAAACGTTCACCTTTGTTAGCGAAACTCACCCTAACTGCATTCCAGCTACTATTGAATCTTCCCAGCTGCTCGGCATGGCTAGGCTGCGCTTTGGGAGCCGTCAACTTATTCTTTAGCTTCGAGAAGAAATCCATGGTCTCGTCAGCAGCTCATAAATTTTTAGCGTCGTCATAAACAATACACTGAGATAAGGCCCGTAGCGCATCTTGTGTCTGTGTTTTCATCCTATCAAATACGAGTACTCAAATGGGGGCAAACAATGTAAATGGAGTGTCACAAAAGTGGCAAGGTATGCGTGACTTGATTAATTATTAATGGGTTGAATGTTTTATGATTCTTGCAATAACCATCACAGTATAATTATTTGACTTACAGACCGCCCCCTTCCTATGTGTCCAATGGAAGCTTAAGATATAATTTTAATATGACGAGATCGCATTAGTCGCATTGCCTTCCTGCTCTCCCTTTAGCGTCTTTTGGCTACACAAGGGATCAAATTCCGTAGGATCTATGATTTCATTATAAAGTAACGTACTTAATATTCTGTTACAATCAACAAATATGAAAATATCATTATTTCGCATTGTTTACCTTACTCATTTGTCAAATGACTGCAGTCAGTAAACGATTAATGAGTTAACAAAATAATAATTTATCACTTATAATGAGAAAGTAGCCATATCGCATCGAAGGTTGTTGGCGCGGCGATTGTGCATTCATGACTGGTTAGGTTTTTGTGCTTTTCACGTGACTTTCAAGCAACACACATGCCGCCAACAATCCGCAACAATACGGATGCCACATTATATGTAGAAATACTTCAAAAACATATCCCAGAGATTTATCAAACTCAACAAGACAATGATCCAAAACATACCAGCTGTCTAGCCAAATCATTCCTTCAGGAAAATGTTACTGAAGCTATTGACAGGCTAAGTAACAGTCCTGACCTCAAAAAAGGATGCCTCAAAACTATGGTGAATTGGAGTGTTTTATAGCTGAGGAATGGAATGCCATTCCTGATGATGTCTTAGAAATTTAGTAAAGTCGATGTGGAAGAGATGTGAAGCAATCATTGAAAAAAATGGTGAACGAATCTCATTTTAATTAATACCAATAAAAACTATGACTTCTTAGCTTTAAAATGAGGTATCTTACATACTTATACTATTCAGAAAAATGGTTGTGTTGTTAATTGAATGATTTTTTGGAGGATCATCTCTTCTAAAGTGTTATAGGCATTGTTCTTGGACAGGATGATCAAGCAAAATGCTTCCAATTTTTCCAAGTATACCAGTTCATCAAGTCGTTTTTAGTTTATATAAACTAAAAACGACTTAGATTAGACTATAATAGTATTCGTGGTTTTTGATTTTACCAAGGCAGTTGACAATCCTTTAGCAATTAGATTAGGTTGGGATACCCCATTGAAATTAAATGAATAAAACGATGTATATCCATTGGATAGCAGGCATTTATATTATTTATTAACGCATTAATATAAATACATCCTACTTGCCACTTTTATTAAGAAGCTGTCCGTATCCAGCTGTGATTGAAATTGGGGTGAATGTTTTCAGTATCTTATTCGCTACTATTCTCAAATGAAATAGCTATCAGTATCCAGCCTGATTGAAGTTGAAGTAGATGTTGAAAAAATAAATAAATTCTGTAGTTTATTTATACCAAGGGGGGCTTTTTTGTGCCGGGTAAAACAGGTTGATATGAAAAAAATCAAAGTAAAAAATGTTACCAGCCCTCAGGGATAACGAAATAAAGTCTAAAGTACCAGCCCTCAGGGATACCTTAGATGGTTTTATTTTAAAGATATATATATATGAATAAGTTATATAATTAATAAATAGATTAATCAGACAAATAGATATGTGTATTATACATTGTTAACTTGTCGCATTTCTTCTCGAACTACCCATAATAATTGGTAATGTAATACTAATTCTGAAGTGCAGAGATCATCGGGTCTGTAGAAATGCTCTAGCCATTTTTCTTGTATTACCTTTACAGCTTTGATTTTTCTACCGATTTCTCTTGCACGTTTTATCTTTGTATTTAGCAAACTTTTCAATCTAAAATAACTAAATAGAAGAAAATTCTAACTTTCCACGTACAAAATACTTTAGCCGAAAATTTTGTATACATGAACTAAACTCTACGCCTATGCCGTATATGTTCGCTTTCGACGTGGTTCATAAAATTATTGAAGATTTCATCGCATTTAGGACAGTTGAGGTTTAATTCTGAAGATTCTTCTGAAGCTTCCAACCCTTCTGAAGATTCTTCCATTTCCGAAGCTTCCGACCTTTCTGGTGATTCTTCCATTTCCGAAGCTTCCGACCTTTCTGGTAATTCTTGCATTTCTGATAATTTTTTCTGTGAATGATCACATAACATTGAATGGCAGAATCTACAACATAAAAAAGTGGTAATATAATAACAATATACCTTAATAACTTCATCGATCTTCCACACTTCCAATGTAAATCCCGGTAAAACGTCCTCACCGCTGATGTCTCTCCATCCCCATGGATATCGTCTCATACCCCTCCTGTATAAATGAATTTTTTTGTTCACTGGATCTATTAACCACGCAAGTCGCACAGACGATTCCATCGCGAAATAATCATTTTTTATTTTAAAATCCAGCCTTTCGAAATCTGATTGCTTTGAGATGTCTGCGACTTTAACAGCGAATATAGGGGAGAAAGGTGGACCCTGGAAAGTTCGACGTTGCTGTTTAGTCAAGCTATCATATACTTCCCTAGATAGAAATGCAACATCTGGAGCATCGATTTTTCTTTGACCACCAACGTTAAAGTCGTATCCTCCTTGCGAAGTTGTGATAATACCATCCTGACGATTCCATACGTTCCAATTTCCGAGTTGTCTTGCAATCTCACCAACAACGGCTTCGAATTCAACAGTTACTTGTGGCATAGGTACAAGTTTGCCGTTTTCATTGAGTTCAAAGAGGTTTATTGGTTGACCTTTAATTTCAATGGAACTTGTCTTGAGTTGTTTGTTGATTAATTTGAATTCTTCTATGGTATAGCTCAGGTCGAGGTCTAAGTTTTCAAGAATCATTTTCTGCCCAGACACGTTCATAGCATTTGTATTAAAGGAGTATATTACGTAAGTGAATCATATTTATAATATTCATCATTATCACGTGATATATATATTTTTTATAATTTAGAACTTTATTGCCTAACTACAGATAAACTGCTAAAAATAGTTTTAACATATATGTAAAACATATAGAGGTATACAAGTACGCATCAAATCGTTTTCAATGATCAACTAGATAAAAAATCGGTTCAGGAACCGTTCTATGGGCTCTTATATTTTTTAATGGCAAATTCTGCCTGTCGTCCCTCAAATTCCTTCATATAGCAATCCATAAATCGTTTGGACCTTAGTGCGTATTTTCGTATTGTCTGTAGAGAAATAGAATCAAATGCAGATGGAAGAGTTTCACTGTTCCAAGTGTGATTGCAATGTTGTGTATATCGTTTAGCAGCGTCCTAATATTGCTCAATGAAATTTAACTCAGGATGGAATTTGGAATAGAAGATAACTTTGTGGCCCATGCTCTCAATTACCTCTTTGAGTAGTGGTTTGTTAGCTTTGAAATATTCTTGCGCTGCAAGAATATGACGCGCACAACAATCATCATTCGTTACAATCGTTTT